CGCACATCGCCTCTTTTTGAAAAAAGAACACCTTTGGTCATGAAACTATGCTCATCCTTTTTTGGGGGGCGGGGGGTACCGGGCATCGAACTCAGGACCTTGCACTTGCGAGGCAGGCGGCAGAACCACTGAGCTACTTGTTTCTGACTTTTTCAAGTCAGCCTCCCATAGTATCAATAAACCTCACAGCTAGAAAAACACCATATATATTTATATATTATATATTTACTTAACAATGGGAATACATTCTGAAAAATGTTAGAAAATTTTGTCATTGGGCCAATATCACAGGTTGTATTTATACAAATTAAGATGGCTATAATGTCCGTAGGTGATATAATCTGGGAGATATATATTCATATATCCTTGTTTTCCAGCCTTCTTAGCTTCATAGGTTGGCCCACCCAGGGCTTCTTTGCCTTCAAGGAGATGAAATTGTTGGCAAAGCAAAAGAAGAATGTGTCAGACATTTGCTTGTTTGCCAGAGAACTTGCTAGAAGACACCCAGAAAGTCAAAGTCCTCATCACTAGAGCAGGGTTAGCCACTAGACACTTTAAGCACAGTGCCAAGAGCCTATGAAAATATATGAAACCTTTAAAAATACTATTGGTGCCAAAATACTAAATAAAGTATATATAAAATGTTTATAAAACATTTTGCTACTTCTGTTCACTGTCAAATTTAATATACTCATTACATTTATAAAACTTGTTAAATTTCATCTCTCTGCATAATAATTCCAGAGAAGTCACAGCCAACTACACATTAAATAACTTACTCATAGCTGGTTAATTTCCAAAGCATAGTTATAAAAATCCTTTAAAATTATTTAAAGTACTACCTTTAATGTAAAAGCATATGTTGAATGAGTGCGATGAGACCTCCCCAAAAGAGTGAGCCTAAGACCTGAGAAGCTGGAAATAGCCCTTCACTGCCACAGCTGGCCTCTGGGTGTGACCTGGATCAGAATGCCTTCACCTTCCTCCCTGGGCCAGACATCCTTGTGCTATGAAGAAATCAAATCCTCCTCCTGACATCATCCATAGCACCAGATGTTCATTTCCTACTTCTTTCTGGAGTCCCACCCTAAGGCCAGAAGCAAAGATGGGCACCATTTCTGAGAAAGAACCTGGATACATTTTCTCTAAGGACAGGGCCATTTCCTATTTCTTATGTCTGGTCCCTAGGCCAGGTGTGCTGGGTGAGTAGAGGAAGGGGTCGGGGAGACTGAGTAGGGATGAGCCAGGGAGCTGTGTGCCAGAGACTGGGAAGGAGGGCACGAACGGTGCCACAAATGGGCTCATCAAAGCAGTGTCTTCACTGAACTGACATATAACTGCCAGACACAGCTTCTTCAGCCCAAACCATCTGGATTTGGAGCCTCCATGTCTTGATTTCTTCCACCTTTGTTGCCAGGACCCAGAGATACACACACATTTCACTTGGCCCTGACTTGGATTGACATCTCCTTTTGTTCTTCTGAGCTGTCATGATAATCACTGGTAGCCAGTTAGTCATTTGTCCATGTTTTTCATTAAATGAAGAATTACCCTGACTGTGTGCCAAGGCACTGATGATGGCTCTTTGAGTTTGTTGGCTTCCCTGAATGGACCTGAGCAAGGGGAGGGCCAGGCAGTTAGAGTAGAGGCCAAAATTCATCTCTGGTTATAAAAAGTGTTTGGTGTGTACACACACAAGCTCCACAAGAACAGAGGCAACGCTTGGAGGGTCCTCTAGTGCCCAGCTCCATGTCAAGGTGGTTATGGACTAGGTTCCCAAAATGAGTTAAGGAAGTATGGGTTTCAGCGAATAGATGTAATCTCTGTTTTATTAAAAATGTACAGTTTGGGGACCAAAGGAGAAAAAATGTTTCTCAAAGTTCTCGGATGATTTAGAAACACCCAGTGTTTGTTTAAGAGCACCAGCTGGGAATCTGCATTTGGAACAAGTCCCGTGTGATTTTTAGTTATCCTGAAGTTTGAGAATCACTAGCTGAGGGATGGAGTGGGGACTGGAGCTGTTTCTGTTTAGCTCCTTCTGACTTTGCAGGGTTCCGGGGAGTGACTGGCTCAACTTTTTGCAGACAAGCTCAGTTGGCTCCTCTGTGTGTTCCTGGCATTCCTTCCTCGGTCACGGAGGCACTGAAAGAGTTAATACAGTTAGAGGTAGGGGAGCAGTTGAGACAAGGCCCTGGGATAGAAGTATCCATCCAGCCTACCTGAGGACTTCCTGAGGGTAAGTTCAGAGACTTTATCTGTGGAGCTGCTTGACAGATTTCTGTCAAATCCCAGAGGCTCTGCTTCTCTTATGATCTGCCTCTTGTCTTTCACAGGACACTTCCTCTTCTCCCTCATTCTTCTTTGCTCCTTCCTACCTATTCATGCTTCTTTCTCCCCACCACAGTTAATCTCTCTCTCTTTTTTTTGTTGTTGTTGCAGTACCAGGGATCAAACTCAGTACCTTGCGCTTGCCAGGCAGGCATGGTGCCACTGAGCTACATCCCCAGGCCTAATATGTAGGACTATTTTAGTTTTTTATTCCATTTTATTTATTACACTTTTTTTCAGTACCACAAATTGAACTCAGGACTTTGTGCTTGCCAGGCAGCCGCAGCGCCACTGAGCTAAATCCCCAGCAGTTAATCTCTTTCCCAGACAAGTGAAAAGCTCTCTTGTCTGTCTCCTTCCTGGGGGATATCTGTGTGAGTCTGTGTTCTTGGGCATCTCAGTGGGCTCATGGGGACCAGCATGTTAGCTGTGAGGAATAGACCTGACCAAGGGGAATGCAGGGAAGTTGGAGTAGAGGCCAAGATTCATCTCCAGCTGCAGACAAGACACACACACAGCTATCCTACCAGTCAGAGAGCCCAGGGCCAATGCTTAAGGACAGCAGGAAAAGATCTTGGAGAAAGGGGGCTGCTGGGTTTTGCAGGACACAGTCTTCATGTCCCAAACCAGAAGAAGATGAGTAGCCCTTCCCCACTGCCAAGAGGACACCCTTGCAGGCCTGGAGATAATTCAGGCTACCAGTGGCAGGCAGGCCAGGATGGTGCCATCACCATGAGATTGGTCCCTATTCTAAAGACTATAAACGCTATGAACCAGGCAGCATGGCCAGAGCAGTTAGTAAGCTCAGCAGGACCACAGAGAGGTAAGTGACGGGAGCCCACGAAGCAGTGGGTGTGAGGATTCATGGTAGACCAGGAGCAGGTGGCAAAGGAAGATGCTCTTTTGGGAGTGAAAGCAACGTGTGTCTCCAGGAGGTCACATGGACAGAGCATTCACAGAAAGGAGTGTGACCACCACCTTGGAGGTGGCAGCGGCCTGGGCAGTAGCCAAGAACTTCTATTAGACTAGCAGACCCTCCTACTATGATTAACAATGCCTGAAGAACATAGGAAATGCTTGAAACAAAGAATTAAGAAGCAGCCTGACACACATGGAGTACAGGTGTGGGAGACAGAAGAAGCAGGGCTGTCTCTACACCTGGTAGTGTGATAAACTGAGTAAACTTGTATAGAGGTGGAAAGGGGGTGAAGAAAATTGTATTCATCTAAATTCCTGTAGAAAGGGGAAGCTGTCTTTGCTGGGAACAATATTTTGATAAGTGCTTCAGCCTGCAGCTGAGATTTCACTGGAGGCCTGGGTGTGGGTGGAACAGCTCTGCTTGAGACACGCAGGAATCTTAGAATTTTGCATGTTTTACCAAAGAGAGCAGGCAATAAAAGAATGGAAGTAAGGCTGTTGCTGTTGGGTTCTATTCAATGTGAACCCCTTTCTTCATTATCTGAATGTCATGAGTGCTTGAGGTCAAGTGGAGGGCACACACTGCACACATTGCTGTTTGGGAAGAAAAACAAAGGGAAGGCCCCCAGATTCTGATGGAGGCTGAGCAGGGTTGCAGAGAAGAGACACAGGAGGAGCTTACAGAGGGGGAGGACCTCAGCTGGTGGACCCCCCGCCCCGGTGACTCAAGTTTTCAAGCTCTCCTGTCACATTTTTCTGGTTATTCTCAATTCTGTTATAGCCAAATCAACTAACAACACATACACATACCCCCTTGTATGGCTATTGGCACTAAGTGGGCTGTTGTACTGAGTCCAGCAGGGTGTTCAGGCCAATTTCAGATAGAGGTACAGCCAGGGCCTGGCCTTCTCTGTTGCTGCTCTGACAGCCTGTCTCACCCAAGTCTCCACTGGGAGGATGGGGCAGCACTAGCATCTTATAGCTCTTGGTTCTGATTGGGTTAGCAGATCCCTGTCTCTGCCAGAGATATTTAATTGAGTCCGAGTCAAGACCACAAGAAGCAGAGAGAGACCTGGAAAGGTCCCTTGAAGCTGGGTGTGGTAGCACCTGCCTGTAATCCCAGCACTCAGGGAGGTTGAGGCAAGGAGAGCACAAGCTTGAGCCCAGTTTAAGCAACTTACTGAGACTGTGTCTCAGATTTTTAAAGGGCTGAGTCCAAAGGCCCTGAGTTCAATTCCCATTACCACAATCATAAATAAATAAGGCTGGGGATGTAGCTCAGTGTGAAGGCCCTGACTTCAATTAGAAAAAAAAAGAAAAAAAGATCCTTTGAAATAGCCTTGGTTTGCAATAGTGACATCTTTAAATCAAGAAAGGCAAAGGAGAGCTGAATCTGTTTGAAGTAGAGAAGCCTCCTGCTGACCTACTGAGTGCTGTGGCCCTTTTTTCAGCTGCAGCTCACAGAAACAATTCCTAAAGGCAGTTTGTAAATGAAAACCAGAAAGATAAACCCAGGTCCAAGTCTCAGGTTTGTCTCATGATTCATGATCTCCCTCAGTGTCTCCAGTCCTCCACCTGGCTGTCCCGAGGGAAAGATAGACCTCTTCAGAAATTCATGTGCAGCCTGGGAAACAAGTGTGAAGGCAAAACCCCTGTGGTGATCTCAGCACTATGGAAAGTCCTTTGAGAGAACTGAAGTGTTGTCCTGGGACCTGAGCTGATGGCCACTGAATGGATGAGGCAGGTTAGCATCTCTTGTCTGATATGATACAGTAACTGAGGCCATTGCTAAGGACTGGAGAAATTGCCTGGGCTATTGGAGAGGGATAGTGTGCCTGCCCTTTAGGTCTTGGGGAATCCCAGGTTAAGCACCTGGCCTTGCACCTTACCAGGCCTCAAGGGATGTCAAGTTTCCGTGGTAGGAGGAATGCTCATCCAGTGCCAACAGCCAGGGCATATCTGGGTGTCCCCCTACCTGGTCCCACGACAAGCTGGCAGGGGTCTTTTTTTTCTATTGGGTGACTAGAGGAGGCCACATCAGTCTTCTAGATGGCCTCTGTCTGGTTCCCTTGTTGGCTGGGGTTGGAGGGTGCAGAGAATACCAAAAGAGACCAAGGGTTAGACTGAGAAGCCACAGGCTCTCCAGGGCCACAGGGCCCAGGGTACTAGGCTTTGTTTTCTTTTCTTCTCAAATAGTTTGTTACCTGTCCTCTCCCCAACTTGCCCACTTCCCTGGTGCACTTCCAGCTGAGAAACTTCTAGAAGAGGCTCCCAGAGTACCGTGTGCTTCCAGGTACGTCCCCTTGGGCTGAATCCCTGAGCTCATGGTGTCTCTGAGCCTGGGGGTCATGCAATGGGAAGGATCAGGCTTATTTATATGGACAAACCAATGGCAGCTGCCAGGTTGATGCTCAGGATAAAAATGCTTAAGTTTAGGGCCGGGGATTTAGCTTAGTGGTTTCGCCGCCTGCTGAGTAAGCGCAAGGACCCGAGTTCGATCCCCGGTACCCCCCCCCAAAAAGCTTAAGTTTTGGCTGTGGGCCCTTAGAGTCTTTCAGCAACATAGTTTGAAATAGGCTAACTAACCCCCTGCAGGACATACTGCCACACATCCCACCCTGGCCTATGTATCAGGGTTGGGCAGGGACCTGGCAGCCCATGGAATGATCTTAGTCTGTGCTTCCTGCTTCCCACTCGTCTACCTGGCTGCTCTCTCAGCTCCTCTGCACCTACCTGGGTGTCCACAGGGGCACACATTCCCGTTGACTGGGTGGAAAAGACTGCTTGCAGGTGGGACTGCTGGAGTGGATCCAGCGGGGTAAGGCCGAGGGTGACTTGCATTTCTTTGGCTTTGAGGAGATGACCACAGGGATGTTCAGGTGAATGTTCCACTCCAGGCGGAGCTAAAGGAACCAGCAAAGTGGCATCAGGGAAACAAGAAGTTATCCTTCTGTAGGCCAGGAAGAGACCTCGCCTGGCTGTTAGTCCCCTGGTGGGCTCAGGGCTGAGCAGAGAGTGTAGGGCCCAAGGCATTCTTCCAGTTAGAAACTCCTGGGACCTGGGGTGTCAGACCTCTCCTAGAAACTCCTTCGATTCTTCTTTGATGAGCTAGTTCCTGTTTTCTCCTTTTTTATGAAGAATCTGGGCAATCGGTGAAGCAAAAGAAAGAAAACTAAAGGAAGCCGAGTCAGCTGGAACCTGTGAGACACTTGCAGGGGTCATGGCAAGGAGCCAAGCAGTATCTGAAGGGCACAGTGTAGGTTTTCACCCATACCCAACTCTTGGTGCTGGTCAAGAAGCTGGAGGATGACCTCTCAAAGAATTGTTATATGGTCTCATTCTTTCTCAACCTGCAAACTAACTTAGCAAGTCAGGTCAGCAACAGCAGATTATCAGGACAAATACAGGTACTATGTACTGAGTTGAGAGAACTTCCAAGGCTGAAGCTCTTCCCACAGCCTGATGCCAGCACTTGGACTCAATCCCATAGCACACTGTCTCCCCACATTCAGGACTTGGCTGCTCAATACAGTACTAAAGGCCAGGCATGGTGGCACATGCCTGTAATCCTAGCACTTGGGAGGCTGACGCAGGAGGATTGCTGTGAGTTTGAGGCCAGCCTGGGCTACATAGCGAGTATAAGACCAACCTAAACTGCATAGTGAGTCCTGTCTCAAAACCACAAAAAATAGTACTTGGGAGAGAAACTTCCTACCCAACCCCAGGGCACATCCCAGCAGCTGAGTCACTGCTGGAGGACTCTCCAATCCCTCCAAGCTCCCAGCCATCCGTTGTGGAGCACCTTAGTTCTTGCTGCTTCTCTGTCCCTGGGAGCTGGGGGAAAAGCAGAAGAAACTGAACTAGCCTCCTTTTTCAAACCTGAGCCTCCGATCTGGAGTGAAAGGCTGCTTATTCCACACAGTTGTACTGAAGAATCTGCAAATGAAGAATCTAATAAGGACTGGTCCAACCCTCATGAGTAGTGCAAAGGGCTATTCCTGCCATGTAAGAGATGGGTGTGTATGTAAATTCAATGCTTGTGTTATAGGGACAAAGTTATTAATATTCCCAAGGAGTATGAATTTTTATTTTGGGGGTTAATTTCTGTTTTCTCTTTTGTCATAGAAAATCTGGAAAGTAGGCAAAATAGTGATGAGCAAACTAAGATGTCAGAGAAGCTAAATCTATAGATAGTTATATGTTTCTTAACAACAGGACATATTCTGAGAAGTGCATCACGAGACAACTTCATCATCATGCAAACATAGAGTGAATATACTCATCAGCCTAGATGGTGTAACTGGCAAGGCCTCTTGATGCAATCAGGAGAAATGATAGAAACAGGATGTATGATGCTGTGGGCTTAACATGGCACACTGCTTTATAGTCAGCTTTTATAAGTAGGAGTATACTCTGAAGTAATGATAAAAAATATAGCTTAGTAAATACATAAACCAATACAGTTATCAAGTATTATGCACTGTAAATAATTTTATGTATGGTAAATAATTTTACATGCTGTAGTTTGTATGGCTGGCAGCTCAGTAGTTTTGTGAGTAACACAACATGCTGGGACATTATGATAGCTATGATGTCACTAGGGGATAGGAATTTTTCCGCTCCATTCTAATCTTATGGGACAGTTGTCATATATTTGGTCCATTATTGACAGAAACATTGTTATGTGGTGCATGACTGTATATAATAAAGAGTTCATAAGGACAATAGATAGAAGTTTTTCATTCCATTGTCCCAAACTTAACTATTATCTCCTTGGCCCATGGGTTTTGATTTTTTAAAAAAATTCCTGCACTAGCTGGGTGTGATAGCACATGCCTAAAATCTCAGCAACTTAGTGAGATTGTCTCAAAATAAAAAATATAAAGGGCTAGGATGTAGCTCAATGGTAGAGCACTCCTGGGTTTGAAACTTGTCTTACTTTTCTTATTACTGATACAAAATACCCAACACTCAAAGTTAAAGGAGGAGAGGTTTATTTTTGGTTCATAGTTTGTAGAGGTTTTAGTTCATAGTTGGCTGGCTCCAAGGCAGGGTGGAGTGGCAGAGGGGCGTCACAAAGGAAAAACAGTTCATGGTGGGCACAAGGCAGCAAAGCAGAGAAGCAGCAAGCAGCGAGTGACCAGCAGTAACCCTCTTTCTGTCCCTTATATCCTATCCAAGCTACCCATCCTTGCAGTGGGTAGCAGTCACACCCAGGGTTGGGCAGCCTTAATCCTAGCATCACAACATGAATCAATCCCAGCATCACATTCTTAGTCCTAGCATCACACACCCTAGCTCTAGCCACCTCCAAAAAGCACCACCTATGAGTGCGTGAGGCTTTGAGGGGACATCTAGATGTAAGCTATAACAATACTTAGTATAGGAAAAAAAGTCTGTATTATTTTGGATCCATTTTAAATGTCAGAAATTTCAAGCAAACCAGAGCACACACCTGTAATCCTAGGTCTATAGAAAGCTGGGGAAGGAGGATCTCAAATTTGAATCCAGCCTGGGCAACTTAGTGAAACCCTGGCTCAGAATCAAACGGGGGTGAGGATGTAGCCCAGAGCAAAGGCCCTCAGTTCAGTCTCCAGTATCTAGGGGCTCATGTATGCTCACCAAGCACACTACCACTGAGGTGCATCCCCAGGCCAGGGGGTTACTTTCTAATTGCATTTGGTTGCTGAGCCTATCCCTGAATGGGGAATACAGTGGCAAAACTGAACCACCTTGGGATTCATTCAAGGTACACTTGATATGTGAATGCGAGAACAGTTTGGATGGTTACCTTATTGAATACTGCAAGGAAAAAGGATGGGTTTGAAAAAATGTGATTTTTCCTGGTGTCAGTTTTTAGTTGGAGAGGGAAAGGATGTGAGTTCTCAGCAAGGATATGGGAAGATGAGGATGAGGCCCTTGCACAAAGAGTGAGAGAATGAGACTCTAATTTTGTTGTTGTAGACCAGGGGTACCTAACCCATGGGCCATGGGCCAGGGAGTCAGTGATCCCTGAGAGAAAGTAATCAAATGAGAGTGTTTAGGCCACCGCATGGCATGGGGTGTGTTGGCAATAATGGGTCAGCGGCAGGTGTGTAAGAGAAAAGGGAACCTTGTACGCCGTTGGTGGGAATGTGGATTGGAGCTGCCGTTATGGAAAATAGTGTGGAAGCTCCTAAAGAAGTTAAAAATAGCATTAATATATGATTCAGCCATCCCCCTTCTGGGTATGTACCCAAGGAAAATGAAATCACCAGTTCCATAAAGATCTTGGCATTCTTGTGTTCACTGAAGCACCAATCACAAGAGCCAAGTTACAGAAACAGCCTAGGGGTGTGTGTGTGTGTGTGTGCGCACATGTGCATGTGCACAAAACAGAATATTCAGTCTTACAAGAGAAGTATTCTTTTTTGTGTGTATGGTTCTGGGGATTGAGCCCACAGATGGGGTATGTTCCACTGAGCCACATTCCTGAGACCCCCCAAAAAGAGAGCCTGCCACTTGGCACAACATTCATGGACCTGGAGGACATTATGCTAAGTGAAATAAGCCAGGCACAAGAATAGTATGTGATCAGGGCCGGGGATTTAGCTCAGTGGTTCTGCTGCCTGCCTCGCAAGCACAAGGTCCTGAGTCCGATCCCCGGTACCACACACATACACACACACACACAAATAGTATGTGCTCATATAGTATTTGTATATAGATCGAAAAACAAAAGACAACTACATAGAGATAGAAAATAACAATGGTTGCCAGGCCTAGGATATAGGGTAGGAAATGGGGAGATGTAAAAGGATACAAAGTAGCAAATTGTGAAGGATGAACAAGTCTAGAGACCTAAAGTGGGACATGAGGACTATAGTTAATAACAGTGAATTGTACTCAGGATTTCTGTTGTTGTTGTTTAGAGACGGGGTCTCACTGTGTAACTCACTATGTAGCCCAGGTTGGCCTTAAACGCAAGGCAATCCTCCTGCCTCAGCCTCCCAAGTGCTGGGACGGTAGGTGTACACCACCATGCCCAGCTTGTATTCAGGATTTTTGCCAAATGGGTAGATTATAACTGCTATTGTGTGTGTGTGTAGGGATAGTTATGTGAGATGATGGATATGTTAATTTTTCACTATAGTAACAATTTTACCATGTATATCCATCTTGTAATATCATGTATACACAGTAAGATTTATTATAAATAAATACATAGTTTTGACCTCACAGAGCCCCTGAAAAGGTTAGACTCAGGATTTCCATGGGTCAGCAAACCACACTCGGAGAGCTGTTGATCTAATGTAGAATTTGAGAAAAGGTTGCAGAACTAAAGGACATATGTTTCTAAACTGAAATGGCTAAGTGCCCAATAAAGTGGACAAACATGGGTCCAGATCAAGCACATTATTATGAAATTATAGAACAGTGAAGACCCAGAGAGACTCTATCTGCTCTCAGAGAGTAAAAATAGGCCAAACCCAAAGGATCACAACTCAGAATGACTTTGTACTCTTAACAGCATTAGAACGTAGAAGCATCAGAACCTAACAATGCCTGCAAAGTTGGAAGGGAAGATAGAATCTAACCTACACCTCCGTGGGTAGGCAACCTACTAATTAGGAGTTAGGGCAAGTTATTAAGTGAAGGTACTTTCGGACAGCGGGTCTCAGTGACTTATTCCTGTGCACCTTTTTGTCTGGAAGTGACTGGAGGAAGTGCTCCACTAAAACAAGAACATGAACCAGGAAAGAAGAGACATAGAGGCTGGGCGTGGTGATGCACCCCCGTTGTAATCCCAGCACTCAGGAGGCTGAGGCTGGAGGACTACCACAAATTCAAGGCCAGACTGGGCTACTTAGTGCGTTCAAGGCCAACCTGGACTACATAGACTGTCTCAAAAAACAAACAAAAAAAGAGACCCAGAATCTAGAAAGCAAAGGAGCAACTCCAGAGGGAAAGAGTGACTCTCCAGAGAGGGGTTGAAGACAATAGCTGTGTCCCAAGCCTACAGAGTAACCAGAACTGATCAGGGCAGGCAGAGAACCCCAGGAGTATAGGATCTAACTACTCAGCCTCCCTGAAGAGTCTTCTCTTCCACAGCTCATTTTGAAGGGTCCCCTTCTTGCTTGCTCTCTCCTTTACATTCAGGCCATATCCTGCCTTCACCTCTTCCTGGGTCAGAGGCTTTAACGTGCTCTCATTTCCTATCTGCATTCCCTGCCCCAGCCCCACCCCACAGCCCTGCTGGCTCATTTCCTTGGCCCTTCCTACTGGCTGGGATGACACCCCTCCCCCAGTGCCCCAGCAGGTGGCTGGGTAGGAGGCCCACCTTGGGGAACATGGTCACCATGCTGCTTAAACACTCCCTGCGCTGCTTCTCCAGGTCCTTCTGTTTGTCTGACCAGGCCTGCAGCCTGAGCTTCTGCTGGCAGTCGATGTTTTCCAGGAAGACAACAAGGCTCTGGGCCTTGTAGGAGGCCGTTGTTTCTCCCATGACTTGCTTGTGGTTGATCACTGCTTGTCTGGGAAGAGAGGAGAAGCAATTTAGGGGGCAGAGGGGCCACCTCCTCCTTCCAGAGATGACTGTTTTCTGTAATTCCTTGAGGCAAGAAGAGAAATGAAAGTTGGTGAGGGCTGGAGAAAATAGGGAGCAGAGAAGTGGGAAGTTGTACCATGTGAGGAGCCTCAAGGGTAGGCTGGAAACAAGAGAAAGTCAAGCAAAGGGGCGGGGGGGGGCAGGCCGTGCACATACTAGGTGGGGTATAGACAGGGTGATAGGAAGCAAGCAAGAAATGGGGAAGCAGGCTCAGAGAGAAAGCCCCCTACAAGGAGAAAAACATGTAAATGCCCTGCTTGCCACAGCTTCTAAGGTTGCCCAAGGGAATGAAGCCAGGTGGCTTTTGCTTGAAGGAGGCTTCAGGAGGCCTGGTCCAGGCCTGAGTAGTTCTCCCTAGCGCCCTTTGTCTGTAGCCCTCCTCTCCCACTGGGTTTTGGTATATTGCAGAGGCTGTGGTGAGTGCCAGGTGACTGCCAGGGCACCTACCGGAGGCTCTGAAAGTGTCTGTAGATAACATACTTCTGGCACAGGTACGGTAGCCTGTGTGCACTCGGCTCCATGGTGGTGGTGGTGAGCTCCAAGGCCTTGCTGTGCAGGTAATTCGGCAGCTCCAGCTTTGACTCCCCACTCAGGAGCTGGAGGTTCTTCCTCTGAGCCTCCATGTCCATGTGGTACATCTTCTCCTTAGAAGTGACCAGGGGCCTCTGCAGAGAGGGCTGGGTCACCCTTCAGATGAATGTCCCAGTGACAGGAAAGGAGGCAGATTTCTTGGGCTCGGTGGGAACACGGTTGGCCTGTGGGATCTGTGTACACTCAGTTGAACTCATGGTCCTCTGGTTTCCTGAGCTGGGCTGCTGGGTATGGGAGGACCTGGGCCAGTATGGCCTCCTGCCTTGGCAAGCAGATTGGGCCTGGCTTGGGGGTGGCTCTGCCTTCTCCAAGTTCCTCCACTGATTGGTGGTTGTGAAGATCGGCCTCTCAGTGTCTTCCCTCAGCTCCCCCAGCTCCCTCCTTAGGCTCTGTCGTTCCTCTTCTGGCCAGGTGTGTGTCTGCTGCTGCCACCTTGTGGCTGCCTCCATTTGCCACTGCTGCAGCTTCTCCTGGTGCTCCTGCTCCAGCAGGACTCATTTCCTCTGCCGCTGCAGCCACATCACCTCCTCCTGAAGCCACTGTTGCCTCTGCTTCTGCCAGCTGAGTTCCTCTTCCTAGTGCTCCACCTGGCTCTCCAAGGGCACCTCCTCGGAGCTCCCTGGGGACAGGTGCTTCATGAAATGTGGCTTAATTCAGACCCTTTCCTTCTCTGGGAAGTGGTCCCCTTGTTCTTTATCTTTGTGGACTGGGCTTTCTGCCACCAGTCTTTGTGATTTTGTAGGAAACTTGTAACCTTCTGAGGGTGATAACACAGGCTCAAGGATCTCAGTGTCCTTAAAAACATCTGTGATGCTGGAATGCATGCTCATGGTGGAAAGAGGCTGGGATGCTGAAGGTGTCACCCCACTGTCCCAGGCCATGGCCATGGGACTTGAGGAAAGTGGTGAAAACAACTGTTCCTCCTCCCTGGGGTCCTGTTGGACTTCCTCCATGACTGCTCCTGTCCGTGAAAGGGTCCTTATCTCAGTGGGTGCTGGGAAGACGTGCAACACCTCAGCTGGGTCTCCAGCTGGACCTCTAGCAATCCGAATTGTCTTCAGCTGGAACCCTAGGGCATGCTTTGTCAGGACGAGGTCATGGCATTTCCCCCTAGATTGCTACCTGCTTTAGGAGAGCATCTCTCTGGCTCCCAAGGTCTTGGATGGACTTCTGGAAGTGCAGCCTCTGGCTGCTGGGCTCTTTGACCATCTCTATTTGCAAGCACTTGTATTTGGTTTCCAGGCTCCTGTTCTCCTTGTGCTGGAGGATCAAGGCCTTGTTGAGATTCTCTACCACAGTGGACATGTACCTGATGGCTTTGACCTCCCCCTTGTTGAACATGGTGGAGTCCAGGAGCTCCTGCAGCATGGACTTCACCTCAGAGACTTTCACACAGGTGGCATGCTTGTCCTGGAGCATCTGTTCTGGGCTCGGTGGCTGAAGGTGGGGTGAAGATTTTTTGTGGGCTTTTCTCCCACCAGCCCTGCCAGAAGATGTGTTTGGGCACTGGGAGAGGTGGAGAGGAAAAAAAGCAACAAATTCCCATGGATCCCAAGAGTTATACTGATTCTCCAAACACTACCTGGCCAAAATTCTCATCTAACCCCTTTGGGGTTGGGCAAAAATAAGGAGCTCAGGCTGTCTGTCCCAGAGAACTCTGCTGAGCCTGAGCTTGCAGTGCTTGCCCTCGGGTCTGCCAGCTCCACAGCACCTGCAGAGTCCAGAGAGGTCACTACAACTTGCCTCAGTTCAGTATACTCCTGGTTGGGCGTGGTGGTGCACCCCTGTAGTCCCAGCACTCTGGAAGCTGAGGCAGGAGGATTCCCATGAGTTTGAGGCCAGCCTGGGCTACATAGCAAGACCCTGCCTCAGACAAAAAAAACAACTGTGCTCCTGACCCTCATGTTTTCCTGGAGGAGAATTATTATTTTTCTAATTGTACCATTTCTCAACCTCAGTATCTGTTTGGCTGTGCATATAGAGATCTATCACAGTCCGACAGCTGTTCACCTGTTTTCTTTTTAAAAATTACTAATGTTTGAGTTCGATCCCCAGTAGCAAAACAAAACAAAACAAATTACTAATGTTAGCTGGGTGTGATAGCACATGCTTGTAATCCCAGCTCTTGTGGAGACAGACAGGAGGACTGTAAATTCAAGTCCTGCCTAGGCAACTTAGCAAGACCCTGTCTCAAAGAACTAAATTATGTAATGTATTTAAGTCCTTATTTAAATAAAACTTGTTTTTAGAAAAAAAGTCAAATAAAAAGGTGTTGGAGATGACTGCCAGTGGTGAAGTGGCCCTGGGTTCAGTCCCACAGTACGGAAGGAAGGCAGGGAGGCAGGGAGGCAGGGAGGCAGGGAGGGGGGGGGGCGGGCGGGCGGGTCAGCCAAGGATCTTGACCAGGCATGGTGGTACACGCAGTCTCACCTCTCTGGTGGCTGAGGCAGGAGGATCAAAAGTTTGAGCCCAGCCTTGGCAACTCAACAACTCAGTAAGACCCTGTCTCACTAAGGGGGATGTAGCTCAGGGTGAAGGCTGTGGTTTCAATCCCCAGTACCACCACCACTACCACAACAAAGACTACCATCTTTTTCCATTTGGGAGGAGTGTCGTAGGCTTCACTGATATTCTGATGAAAGCAGCGGACCCTTTCCCCAGGAAAATGTACTAAGCACAGATTGTGTGTGCTGTGTTTAACCTCTCTGACAGACCTCAGGGCTTCAAGGGCTGATCACAATCACAGATCTCTGCCACTGGACCTATAATTCATAGGGCAGGGGTGGGGGGGTTATCTTGGCACATCTGGTCAATGAATATTACTGGCAGAAAACCACAGTGGCTAAATTTGGATGAGGGAGGAGATCTGGAAATTAAATGATACTGAGGTCCAGCTAGTATCTAGCTAGTTTTGCCCTATAGCCCAGTAAGTACCACAGAATTTAGATTCTGGGACCAGAACTTGGGCTTGAACCTCATTTTTCCCACTTGCCTTGGCAAATTTCTTTTTTTTCTTTTCCTTTTTAAATTCTTTTATTGGTACATTTTAGGTATATAATACATTTCCATTTATCATTGGGTACTTGTCTTGGCAAATTTCTTAACTTCTCAGTGCCTCAGTTTCCTCATCTGAAAAATGGGGATAATCAGAGCATCTACATCATAGTATTTAATCTTCCTACCTCAGCCTCCCAAGTGATGGGATTATAGGTGTGTACCACCATGCCCAGCAGCTACTGTTTATTAAATCCTGAGCATGTTCCAAGCAAGGCATCAGACACTTCATACCTTGTGGAAGCCTCCCTGAACCCTACAAGTAGGCATTCTCTCTCTCCTCCCCCCCTCTCGGATTGAACTCGGGACCTTGGGCTTTCAAGGCAGGTGGCAGAACCACTGAGCTAAATTCCCAGCCCTCCTCTTTTTTTTGACACAGGGTTGCTATCCTCCTGCCTCAGCCTTCCAGAGTGCTAGGATTACAAGCATGTACCACCATGCCTGGCTCCTTGCCATTTTATGTATGAGGAAACCGAGGCTCAGAGAAATGAAGGGACTTGCAAAAAGTTACACAGCCAGAAATTGGAAGAGATGGAAATCAAATTTGTATGACTGCAAAACCCATGCTCTTGAGTAAAACTAACCTTAATGTGGGGCCTGGCTTTGCCAGGAGTTTTCTTGTACCTTTCTCTTCTCTAACCATCAATGTTCTCATCTATAAAATGCGGGAATTAGATAATCTCAGGTCACTTATAGTGTTGATAGAAGTAAAATTCCAAGGTTCAGCCATGTTGTTGACTGACTACCTTGGGAGTAGCCATGATCAGGAAGAGTACAGAGGGGCCTCTGTTTGAGCCTCACCAAACCTTCTGGTGCAGCAGATAGGCTTGGAGCGAGAAAGGATGTTCCTCAGGCTCTGGCCATAGACTCCAGCCTTCCTGGCCTTTGGGCCTTCTTCCCACAACCCACACAAGGCCCAGCTCCAGAAAGCACCTCTGGGCACATGTCTACACCTACTCTATCTCCACCCTGAGGGCCAGCTCAGAGCTGCTCAGTGCTCAGTTTGGGGTCAACACCCTGGCCCTCACTTTGGCTCCCAACTCTACTTTCTTTTGTACTTTTGTTTTTTGAGACAGGGTCTCACTATGTAGCCCAGGCTAGCCTTGAACTCGTGATCCTCCTGACTCAGACTCTGGAGTGCTGGGATGAGAAGTGTGCGTCACTATGCCTGGCTGTACTTGCTATGAGGGAGAGTTGGAAAACCCCTTCCAGACCCAGTCCATACTGTCTTCCCCTAAGAGGCAGTCTACTCTAGCCCCACCCCACACCCTCCCAGGTCCTCCAGGAACCTACTTTGTGACCTTTTCTTTTGTTCTTCAGTGAGAGTGGAGCAAAGGGAAACGAGAGACTGTATGCCTTCTTTGGTGGTGATGAGGGAAAGAGGTAACACTTTCTCTATTACTTCAATCCATTCATTCAGGGCTTCCTCTTCATCCTCACTCTTCCTGTTCCTGATCTCGTAGGTCAGACTGTCACCTGGACAAGGAGTGAGAAGTGCAAGCTAAGGGCAGTCTGTCTTCTAGGGAGCTCCAAACAGCTCTTTAGCTCAGGGGTTATAGTAGCTTTGAGGTCAAGATTGGTTTTATCTCACACTAGCTATGTGATATTGGGCAGGTCACTTATTCCCCTGAACATTAGTTGATTTTCATTTTGATTATTCATTCAGTGATACTAAAAATCCACAGCAAACATTTCTCCAGAATTTCAGAACTTGCTGGGGACTTGTAGTTTCCTTCCCTGTAAAAGCTTTGGGTGTGGATTAAATGAGATAATACATGTGAAATCATTAATATGAGGCCTGCCACATATAAATACACATTAGACATCGACTGCTGTGTTACACAGTCAAGGAAGTGTCTGTCTTATTACAGCTCTGTACCCAACATCTGGACAGTTAAACTGAGAAGAGTCAACAGCTGTCTTAGCTCTTGAGGGGAGCCGAAGGACTACTGCACTGAGAACTCATTGGGCACCGGCAGGGTGAGCAGGTAGGGTACATCCCCACTTCCTCCGACACTTCAGGATCCAGCACACCTCACTGCAAACAGACTGTTAGGACTTGGATCTGAGCAGGGGTAGTACTTAGTTTTGGGGCTGTGAGCCCATGCTCCACCCCTGAACAGTAGTGCCAGTTGCGTGTGGCTGGCATTAGTGCCTGTGCAGTAAGGTCATTCAGCGTTTCGAGTATCACACTGGCTCCTCTACAAAATGGCTAATATGGGTTTGAATTCAGTTTCTATCCTGCTAAAAAGATGAGATATCCTAATGGACCTGTTACATGTTTGCCCCTGTGGAGTGAGACCACATGCTGTGATGAGTAGGGGAAAGTTTCACCTGGAAAAGTGTATTGCAGTGTGTCCTTTGCTGTCCCTCTGACCACTCACACTCCCCTCCCAGCAAATGCTGACCCAGGTAGAGAAAGGAGGAGACTGAGTGAGCAGGGACCAGCGTCTTAGGGGAAGGCACCCACCCTGAGGGCTGCACCCGGCATGCAGACTCACCCCAGTCACCCAACCAGCAGAGGATTTCATACAGATGCTTTTCTTTAGTCTTAGCATCTTTGGAGAAGGAAGAAATTTTTTCTAGTAAGATGAATCTCTTCTTGACCTTTTGCTCCATCTGGTAAGATTTTGTCTTTTCTTTTAAATCATATCCTGATTCTTCCTGGAGGCTGTTGATGACACTGTTGACATTGTTCAAGATGTCTGAGAGCTGGGTAGAAATATCCTATGTGGGAGGCAGCATATTGCATTGCTTAGCAGTGTAGACTGTGGAACCAGATGCTTGGACAAGTCACTTATTAACCTCTCTGGGTTTGAGGTTTTTCTGTTTTGTTTGTCAAAGTAGAGATCATTATAGGACTTATAGCACAGGGTATTTGTTTCTTGTTTTTTAAGTCAAGGTCTTGCTGCCTTGTTCAGGCTGGCCTTGAACTCAGTATGTAATCTAACTCCTGGCAATCCTGCCTCAGCCCCCCTGAGTGCTGGGATTATAGGTGTGTGCCACCACGCCTGGCTCACAGGGTATTTGTAAGGATTAAATGAAATAATTCTTGTAAAGTGCATAGAACAGTGCCTGGCATATAGCAAAAACATTAATTCTTTTTTTTTTTTTTTTGGTACCAGGAATTGAACTCAGGACCTTGCACTTGCCAGGCAGGTGTGGCACTGTTAAGCTACATCCCCAGCCCAGTATTAGCTCTTATTATCATTTTGATTATTAAATTAGTGACACTAAGCTGGGCATGGTGCTGCATGCCTGTAATCCCAGCACTCTGGAGGTTGAGGCAGTATGATTGATATAGGAGGTAGGGTAAGGCAAAGATGCCTGGGGAATTAAGCAGGACCTGTCAATTACAAGATCCCAGGGCAGCACCAGGACCCCATATGTAGAACTTCTTGAGAGTTCCCACTATCGTGACTTCACAGTAGTCCATCTTGGTCTCCCAGACCCAGGATGTACTTTTACTTTTGTCCTTTTTCTCTTTTCTTTGTTTAGCCCAAGTTTGCTCTGAAGAACTAGTTCTTCCCTTACTCCTTCACCCCTCATTTTCAAATAAACTGCACCGCTTTTGGCTTATCTCATCCAGTTCTTTGTTCCAGACAAGAAGGACCTGTAATATTTTTGAGCCATTTCTAAAGGAACTACCTGACAAAAGGATCGCTGTAAGTTTGAGGCCAGCCTGGGCTACATAGTGAGTTTAAGGCCACCCTGAACTACATGGTGAGTCCCTGTCTCAAAAAGCAAAAAGAAAAAAGTTCATTGACACTAAAACTCCACAGTAAGTATTTCAGAATTCAGAACAAGAAACTTTGAGGATCAGAGGCTCAAGTTAAAAATGCAGTAGAGGCCCATTATGTACAGAGTGAGCCAAACCTTTGGCCGTTACTCCTGAGCGCTCTCAGGACTAAATTTAGGGGATTGTGGCAGTTGGCCAAGAATAGACCTCAAATCAAGAAATCTGGGCACCTTCCTGCCCCCTTCACACCTAGCACTATGGGACATCCTGGAGTTTCGGCCCACTTACCTGTTATAGGGCTGCTCCCTTCCCAGAGTGGCAGGACTGAGCCCACCCCGTAGAAGCCAAGTATAAGACATACTTAGCTAATCTGAACTTGTATCTGTCTGAAAAACCAGCTTGCAGAGTATCCCAGGATGCCCCCACCCGAGGGCCCAGAAATAAAATCTTGTTTAAACACGAGGTCACTTCCCAGCCTCTGTGTTGGCCCCCAATACAAGGGTACTTCTCTCGTCGCACAGGATACCTCCTGAGCCCGAGTGAGCTGGGCAGTCTCAACCCTCGAGATGGTGGCCGTCACGGAGGCAGGAGTCAGCAGCTGTGGGGCGTCGCCCTTCTCCATTCTGGATGACTGTGCCCTTGTTTCTAGTACACAGGCCTATACACACAGTGTTGTCTGCTTTGGAGGTTAAGGGCCCCAGGGTGGCTCCTGGGTACCTTCCACCCAGCCGCAATTCCTCCATAACTGCCACATACCAAGTTCCACCTGACCCTCTTTTCCTAGTGACGTCACCAGTTTGATTTTAACATTGGACTTCTTGCCATTAATCTGACTGGTTATCTAGCTTTTTATCCATTACTCAGTATTATATTTACTTGACCTGTTGCTTTTTTTTTTTGGTACCAGGGATCTAACTTGGGTCCTTGCACTTGCGAGGCAGGTGGCAGAGCCACTGAGCTACTCCCCCGCCTGACCTGTTGCTTTTTAAGAGTCATTTCATGTGGACCAGGTTCCACCGCCTGCCTAGCAAGCGCAAGGTCCTGAGTTCAATCCCCAGTACCAAAAAAAAAAAGAAGAATCATTTTATGTTAAGCTCCCAAACTAAACATTAATGGCTAAAAATAGGAAAAGGCAATTAGAAAAAGTTAATTTTTGCCATAGTTTCCTGAATTTCTCCCAGAGGTTCATGTGCCAAAGATGTGGTCCCAGGATTGGGTCCCTGGGAAGATAGAGCCTTTTTGTGAGATAGGCCTCTTGTGCAAGGTGCTTTTGTCATTGTGGGTGTGCCCTGAAAGGGAACTGTGCAGTCCCAGCCCCTTCTTTGTTCCTCTTTGCTCCCTGGCTTAGGATATGAACAGATTTGTTTCACTGCACACTCCTTCCATCTATGCCCCCGCTCCCCAGCAATGCGGCTATTCAGTCATGGACTGAATTCCCCAAACTGTCAGCCAGTGTCAACCTCTTCTAAGCTAACTGTCTCGGTATTTTGTTATAATGAAGAAAACCTGACTTACATACTTTCCCAAAGAGAACTTTTAATATTTTAAAAGAGCCAATTAATAACTGTGTAGGAGGGGCCGGGGATATAGCTCAGTGGTTCTGCTGCCTGCCTCACAAGCGGAAGGACCCGAGTTCGATCCCTGGTACCAAAAAAAAACCAAACAAATAACTGTGTAGGAATATATTTGTGTTTACCCCAAGGATTGAGGCTTAGTCGACACTGTTAATTACTGAAGGTGATTAGTCATGGCAAGAGATCTGTTTAAAACAAATGGCCTGTTTCCTTTCTCTTCCTTTTTCCCTCCTCCTCCTCCTCTTCTTCCTCCTCCCCATTTCCTCTCTCCCCCGCCCTCCTCCTCGTTCTCCTCCTCTTCTCTACCCGCCCCTCTCTCTCTTTCTCTCTAGATGGGGTCTCACTATGAAGTTCAGGCTGGCCTTGAACTCACAGTGTAGCCCAGGGTGGTCTCAAACTCATGCCAATCCTCCTACTTCAGCCTCCTGAGTGCTGTAATTACAGGCCAACCTATACAATCAGCAGATTCAGCTTCCTTGAGAAAAGAGGATCCTGTTGGAGGAGGTGGACTGGTTGTCCAAAGAACTAATCAGGGCCTCAGAGCTAAGAGTTTGCCTTCAGACTCAGAGAAAACTTTGGAGTTGGACTTTTCAGCAATGCTGGAACTGTTAGAACTTTGGTAATTCTTAGAGTTGAACTAAATGCAGCTGGCATAAAAAGATACACAAGAAGCCAGGTGTGGTGGTGCACACCTGTAATCTCAGCACTCAGGAGGCTGAGGCAGTAGGATCACTGCACGTTTCAAGCCAGCCTGAACTACTTGGTGAGACCCTGTCTCAAAAAATCAAAACAAAAATAAGCAAAGAGATACAGAAGAACCAAGAGATGGAGGGAGGGGAAGTGAAGGGGATATAAAAAGAATTGAGATGTGTAATGTACATGTTCCAGCTCCCCACCATGAATGAGGCTGTTGTGCACTGCAAACATGTACTAATGAAAAGAAAAAAGAAAAAAACCCCAAAATAAATGAACATCACTGTATGCCCAGGACCTAAAACTATACCTGGCATATACTAGGCACTTACTGAACACTTGTTGAACAAATAAATGAACATATAAATGCAAATACATATACATAAAATTATTCTGTCTTCTAAAACTTACCATTTAATACATAAGGAGTTAAATATTGTTGGCTTATTCCTCAGCAGTGCTGTGACCACTCAGTAACTTGTCACAGATGCTATAGCCCAGGCTGGCCTCAAACTCCTGTCTGAGCCTCCCAAGTGCTGGAACTACAGCCTTGTGCCACTACGCCAGCTAATAAAGCTTATTTTTAAAAAATATGATGCCCAAAACTGCAGGGACTCTGGGAAGACAGTGCAAGGGGCTAGTCAGGAGGGCATTAGAGGGTATAACTCTTCTTCCTCTCTTAGGTGGAGAGTCTTTTCTCCTACCTTTGTCCCTTGGCTGGATTCCTCCCAGTCATTCGTCCTTCTGAGCCCTCTCCGACGGGCAATTTAGCGGGCAGCTGCAGTACCTTCATTACAGTCCAAATGCCACACTTTGGTGATCTCTAGCCCAGTAAAGATGGTTACAAACTTTTTCATATTTTTAAATTGTTTATTTACTTGTTAGTTTTGAGACAGGGTCTCATTGTAGTGCAGGCTGCCCTTGAACTTATGGTGACCCTTCTGCCTCAGCCTCTCAAGTGCTGGGATTACAGGTGTAGGCCACCACATCCAGTTTACAAACTTTTTTTTTAAAAAAGCAGCTAATCCTTCTTTTCAAGCAAACCTTTATGCAGAACCTTATTGAAACAAATAAATCTTACTTATTAGGATACATTTACATTTTAAGTTCAATTTCATGACATCTTTGTATTATAAACTCTTTCAGTGTTAGAAGCCTGGTTTGATGAACCCAGGAATTTTATATGTAGGACATATACAAGTATGTAGTTTTAAGTTGCTATTTAAAAACAGTTTACAGGCCGGGGATTTAGCTCAGTGGTTTTGCTGCCTGCTGCGCAAGCGCAAGGACCCAAGTTCGAACCCCGGTACCAAAAAAAAAAAAACAAAAACCCCAACAAAACAGTTTACACTATAATTAAGGTTTCTGGGTAAAAATGGTAGAATTGAACATATGCATCTAAATTTGTTCTACTGAAAACCCACTAAAACTATAGCAAAGACTTTTTAAAGGCATAAATCCACAAGGGAAAGGAAACAGGAGAGGAGAAAAAAGCAAAATGTTTTAGAAAGCTGGAAAGCAGATGGATGAGCAGTTACTGACTCAGACCAGGGAAAGATAGCTGCCAAGGCAATAGCAGGGCACCCGTGTGGCAAAAAGTATTGGTTCTGCTTGCCAGAGATGGGCATCCTCCACCAAGAGAGACACCAGATGCTGACGCCAGAGGCTCACTGCCAGGTCACTGTCCACAGGAGCTCATGATTGAAAAAGCCACTCAAGTACTTGGGGAGGGGCCGTAGATGCTTCTAATCAGCTTTTTTGGTGCCCCACCCTTAAGTGTGAGTAGACAACCAAAGATTATGAGAACTCTAAGAAGAGAATTTAACATGAAAGACAGAGACCAAAACAGTATAAAAAGAAATTTGGAGCAAACATTATGCAGAAAGAAGAAAAATTAAAACAAAATTTCCAGTAGTAGCTTCCAAGATAAAAAGCTAATGCAACCTGAAACAAAATAAGATGCTATAAGGCCGGAGATTTAGCTCAGTGGTTTCACCGCCTGGTGTGCAAGCGCAAGGACCCGAGTTTGATCCCCAGTACAAAAAACAAAAAAGCCCAAAATAAGGTGCTATAAAGATAAAGCAAGAGCAATACAATCTTTTTTTTTTTTTTGTACCAGGGATTGAACTCGGGACCTTGTGCTTGTGAGGCAGGCAACAGAACCACTGAGCTAAATCCCCGGCAAAATACAATCTTTAAAATATCGAAAAACTCAAAAGAATAGAAAGATAAGGTTGAGGAAGTCTCTCAAAAAATAACATAAAAAGGTAGAAAGTTGGAGAGAAAAATAAGAAATTAGAAGTACTAGTCCAGTAGGTCTATCATCCAAATTTTAGGAGTTCTAAAAAAGGACAGAGAAAATTGGAGGAAGGAGATCATCAGTGGGATGGTCCAAAATTACTTCCTGGCACGGTGTATAAGTCAGTGGTAGACCACCTGCCTGCTATACACAAGGCCCTGGGTTTAACTCTAGCAACACACACACACTATTACAAAATTAAATTTGGAAGATGGGAGTTAGAAACTATATACAAGTGGTGGGGATGGGGAGAGGGAAAAGAACTAAATGCTCAAATCTGTCCTTATTATTTGTGGGGGCTGAGGCAAGTCTCCAGAAGAAGACTCACATACTAAATATTTCAGTGTTATGAATTAAGCTAACAAACTATTAAATAAAGTATGTTCTAAATTCCTAAGTTTACAAAAATCTACTTTCATAAGGACTTGGAAAGCTAGGTTCTAAATTAGACCTTTTGGACTCTCTAGAATTCTATAGTAGAAATGGCAGTCCCAGGACCCTGACTCTTGCTTGAACCTCTTCCCTTTTGCTCTTGGCTTTGTCCTGCATCGAGAGAACCTCATACGCAGGCCTGTGGACACCCAGCTTATGCCTGAGCTTCTCTCTGTAAACAGTTACCTTGTGACTACTCCTCAAGTCCAGGGATGCCCAAACATCAGCAAGGTCTCCCTGAGGAAGAGTGATTCAAGCAGGAGCTGGTGTGGTCCTAGAAGCAAACTAGGCAGCGAATTCCAGGGTCCTAGTATGCAGAATATGGTCTATAAGGGGGTAAATAGGCTCTGGATGGAATGTCCCCTTGGGTTACTCAGCCTGTGGGGAGAGAGAGAACTGGAAGAGGTCCAGAGATAACTAAAGTCAGTGCCAAAAGGGACAGCTGAAAGAGCTGAGAATGGTTCTCTTTGGGGAGCGGAAGTTAATGGGGGCAGGAGTCCGCTGTTTATCTTACCATATCTCATACAGTTATTTGACTTTAACATATGTGTCTGTGTTCTAATACTTCACACACAGAAAAGCCAAGAAATAGGGTTGGGGTATAGATCAGTGGTAGAGTGTGAGGACATGGACACACACACCTCCTTAAAATGTAATTATAAAAGTTTATGGAGGGGCCAGGGATTTAGCTCAGTGGTTCCACCGCCTGCCTCGAAAGCTAAGGACCCGAGTTCGATCCCCGGTACCAAAAAAGTTTTTTGGAGGTCTGGTGTCTGGTGTGGTGGCACTCACTAAGAGTCCTAGCTACTCTGGAGGCTGAGGCAGGACTGCTTGAGCCAATTTTGAGGCCAGCTTGGGGAACATAGAAAGTCCCTGTTTCAAATAACAGAGAACACTTTATGGAACCTCTGAACCACTTCTGCTACGTCTAGAGTTCTCAATGATAAAGCTTGTAAACCACACAACTGGGCTCTCATTTGAGGCTATCTAGATATTGTTGTGATTTAAAACCACTGAAGTTTCTGTAGTGGCCTCTAACAATTAATCCCACTTCCTTTTCCTCCCATTTGTCACCTTTAATTCAGGACTTCTACTTTCGATTGGTTTTCTTACCTCTCCTCTGCTAGACTCCAAATTCCTTGCAACCAGGGACCTGCCTCAGAGTTCTCTGGGTCTAAGGAATCTGGCAAAGAATACAGGCTTAGGTTAAGTGTTGATGAATAAAGGAAACAGGCTTTGGATAGAAGGAGCTCAATTCCTTTCTGCATCACTTGCTTGGAGCCTTGTCAATTGCAAGCCAGAGACCTTCGGCTTTATTCGTTAAATAGTTTTGGGTTACAAACTATCTTGTCCCTTATCTGCACAACATAATTTACCTCACTTTTTTTTTATTCCTATAAAAGACCAGGTGCCAGCCGTCTTCAGTTCACTGCTTGGTGGGTGCAAATTTAAAAAGTAACTTCAGAGTTAAGTGAGAAGCACCTGTACAATCTGAGGGCAGGGATTTTTTTTTTTTTGTCTCATGCCTGGAACAAATGGTCAATAAGTTCTTGCGTTAATTTTAGAGTGGTAAATTTTAAAATGCTTTGTTAAGTGCAAACGTGCCTGTTATACAGAACGAACGCCTCGTCCCATCCTCGGTTCTTGTCTGGGACGCGGCGGCCTTAGGTATAGCGTGGGCAGCGAGCTGGGGAACAGGAGCCGCGGAATGCGAGGACCGGGGACAGCGCTCGGCGAGTCTCAGCTCAGCCCAGCACCCGCCCGGCGTCAATAAGAGGCGAGTGCTCGCGCGCCCCGCCCTCGGGGGGCGGGCCCCGGACCCGGTGGCGTGGGGGCGGGGTTTGGCTGTCCGCGCCGGGGGGCGGAGCCGGGTCCGGGCACACCGGCCCGGTTGCGAGCCCCGCTCGTCGGCGGGAGACACGGGAGTCCCGGCCACGAAGAGGTGCGACCCCCCACTGGCCCCGCCCTCTCGGCTGCCACCTGGCCAATCAGAACAGCTTTTACTGGCGAGTGGGCCGAGCCGGCCCAGCTGCTCGGAGGCTCTGGCATGGTAACGTCCCCGTGCGGGGGTGGAAGGGCCCGGGGAGGTCCCACAGCGCCCCCTGCGGCCCGGGCTGGGGGCGGGGTGCCGGGGAGGCCACCGGGGGTACCCGGGACCCCGGGGATGCCGCAGGGAATGGAGGGGGAGAGGAAGGGGAGCCCAGGAGGGGGATGGGGCGGTGATCTGGGGGAGAAGGGGTGGGGGAGGCCATGATGGAGCTTGGTGTCTACTGGGGTATGAGGCCAGAGGCTGAGGGGGACGGGAGTTGCTGGGACCGGGTGAGTCGGAGGGAGGAAGAAGAAATGAAGGGTGGGTTTATGGAGAAAAGTCGAGAAAGAAGAGAGGCAGGAGAGGCAGACCGCGGGACAAGGGGGAGGTGGGGACCACATTTTCCTTTCTGGGGTATTTCTCGCGCCCCGTGCCCATCCCCCAGACGCAGTGCTTGTTGTCTTTGGAAGCTCTGGACGCCCCTTTGGACTACTAGGGGACTTCCTCCTTTTCCTCGCATTTGCGAGACCTTGTCTCCTGAGGTGAGGAAGGGGCTTCTGAGGAAGGGCTTCTTGGCCCTCACCCCAGTGCTGAGGAGTCCAAGAAGTAGAAAAGTAGTCCCCTAGGTTCCAACCTTGACTCCGCCATCAACGAACTACCAACTCTGTGACCTTGGACAAGTCACTACCTTCGTAGGGCCTTGGATTTCTTATTGACTTAAATTTTAAAAAGGAAAATTGATGAAAATGATATTCTAGGTGTCTTCCAGCCTCAACATGGGGCGTTTTTTGAAGAGAAAATTATGGCGAGTGGTTCTACGACCTGGGGAAGCCTGAAGATGCAAGCGAGGCCTTTAGCCGGGCTGGAGGAAAATCCCCAGGGATGTGGGGGAGGGGAGACAAAGTCTGCATTGCCTAGGCCAGCTCTCAGCATCCTGTGGGAGGGACGGTAGAAGATTTGAGCCTTGAGTCAAGAAAGATGAGGACCAGAAGTAACGTTCTGTTCCTTAGAGTGAGGAAGTGATGGGTGATGGAAGATCATAGAAACAATGAGAAGATATTTTCTGGAAAGGCTCCAGGCTCTTTGGGAATAAGAGGAACAGTGGTGCCTGTGGACTAGGAAGATTTTGGGGAACAGGGAGGGAGAGGCAGGTGGTGTTTGGGGGCAGCTGAAGAACGGTAGCAGGTAGATAGACTTCATAGTAATCAGCTCTTCTCTTTGGCTCTCTCTCTCCTCTCTCTCTCTCTCTCTCTCTCTGTCTGTCTGTTTCTGTCTCTGTCTCTGTCTCTCTCTCTCTCTCTCTCTCTCATCTTTCTCGGTGCTGGGAATGGAATCCAGGCCCTTATTCTTGCTAGGCAAGCAATTCATCACAGCCCTAACCCTCAGCTGTTCCTTTTTGATGATGGCTACCTCCTGAGAGGTGTGCCTCCTGGCCTTTGTTTCCCAGCACAGCCCTTCAGGGAGTGGGAGTGAGTCAGACCGGGCAGACCTTGGGATCTCCTGGCTCTCTGAGCATTTCAGAACTTTAGGGTGAAAAGAAAACAGGGGAATGCATCTAAGTGTAAGAAATACCATCTGTGGTACCATCTTCCTTGCTGGGAAGCAGCTTTGTGGAGTGAAAGCACAGCTTCTGGCATCAGACTGCTTGGATTCCAAACCTGCCTCTGCCATTTAATCTCTTGGAACCTTGGTCAAGTAAGTAACTTAATCTCTCAGAACTCCAGCTTCTTTGTCTATAAAATGGGCATAATAACCTCTAAAATGGTTGCTAGGATTAAATGAGTATTTGGCATGGTATTTGGCTCCTAGTAGTGCTCAGTAAACATTACCTATTAACTGTTGTTATTCTGTCTTTTCATTGTCTTCCTTCTATCTCTCCATTATTGTCTTTTTCTCCTTTTGCCCTTTATCTGAATGCTCGGTTCTGAGATGCCCCTTAGATGTGAAGGCCTAGAATTGATTGTATCTTGGTGGTGGTGGTGGTGGTGGTAGGGTCTTTCCAGGGCCCAGGTGAACAAATGATGATCAAGTGCCCTTTCATTGTCTCTCCCCAACCCCTAAATGTATTTTTGTTCCAGGGTGACACAGAATCTGCTTCTTTTTCAGTTCCCATCCCTCTGACCCTCTCTTGAATTAGTTATTTCTTCATATTCTAATCCAGAATTGTAAGGAGACCCATAGTTCCATAGGCATTGCAGCAGGTGGGAAAGGGATAGGTGTTTCAGGAAAGAAAGGACACACATAGCATAGAGGAAGCTCCAGGAAGAGAAGCCTTTGGAAGTTCCATAGAAATTTACATTCATTCCATTGCTTTATTTTCTGTGGATAACTCACCAAAACAGACTAATGTCTAAATCCTGGCGAGAGGTCTCCATCCCAAATTGAAAATGGTTTTCCCATGTCAGTACTTGATTCCAGTTCCCTTTCCCCAAGCAAGAAAGACCTCTGCCAAGCTGCCTTTTTCTGTCTTAGCCTGTATTCAGAGAATTTAAACAAAGATACAGAGGCATACATACATGTGGTCTTTTAGGGTGTTTCATTATGCAAAAATCTAATAAGGTTAGGGATGAGACTGCATTTTATCACAGTACTTGGTGTGCAGGGCCTGTCTAGGGACTCAATCTATTGAGCCAAGATTGCGAGATAGGCTTTATTAAAAGACTTAGTTAGATGAGAGATTTTGTAGGGTAGCAATAGGGAACCACCCTTGGTTCTCAAGCAAGAAAGTGTTGGATCCTTCCTGATTTGACCACTGGAGTTGTAGGGAAGGTGAGTGTGAAAAACAGACCTTCTTGTAGGAGGAACTGTGTTTTTAAGGGACTCAGGCTGGAGGGCAGATTGGGTCCAGTCCTGGCTTTGTCCCTAACCAGCTGTGGGACCTTGGACATTACTATTGTCTTTCTCATATGAAGGGAGGGAACTGCGTTGGTTGCCAGACTGCCCTGCAGCTCTGACATTCTGTGTTCCCTGAATACCACTGAGCCTTCCCAGTGATCCCCTGCTGTTAACAGGTTTTTGTTTTTTGGGGGGTTTTTTTTGGTACCAGGGATCGAACTTGCGAGGCAGGTGCCAAAACCACTGAGCTAAATCCTTGGCCCTTGTTTTTTTTTTTTTAAGCACCTACTCCAGGCCTTTAGGGCTTTCAGTTTAGTGGGGGCTGCAGACACTGTATTTCCTCAATTCAAAGATTCATTTTAACAATCCTGCAGTCAGGATGCATCTTAAAATCAGTGGGCTATTATAATTTAATGAGGAGCATTTGTTTCTTACTAGTGCCACATAAGGTGCTAGTACAATTAAATTTGCACAGATAACTAAAACCCTAGTGGATAATTGCTGAAGAGAAGGTATAGGTGTCGCATGACCATGTAAAGGAGGGGTCTGACCCAGACAGTGGGTTGGGAGAGGCTTTCCAGGGCAGGGCCTTGGTGGATGCAGGGTGTGTAGTCCAGGGGGCAGGGTTGTCCCAGCACAGGTGGATGCCTGAGGTGGGAGAGCTGAGAGGAGTGTGGCTGGGGCACAGACTGGGAGCTGGGCAGGGGTGAGGCTGGCAGGGTGGTGGGCAGCAGACCTCCGTAGCCTTCAGGTCCTGGTCAAGGGTTTGGTGTTTACCATAAGAACAGTGGGAAGTCATTGAAGAGTTTTAAACAGGAGAGTCTGCGGTACATTTTGAAGAGCTTGTTTGGCTACACTTTGAGGTGGATGTGGGGAGAACAGTTGGGAGGCCACTGCAGTAGATCAGATGAAAATATATGGTGGCTTGGACAAGAGGGATCGTGATGGAGTAGAAGAGGAAATGGAAAGAAGTAGATGTAAGAAGTCTTTTGGAGGTAAAATTAACCAGACTTCGTGATGTATTGTTGAAGGAGGTATGGAGAGTAACTCCTAGGTGTCTGTCTTAGACAGCTGAATGGGTGGTTTGGAGATGGCAATCCTGGGCCCAGTTAGACCCAAAGATGCCTCTCTGGGAGGTTAATATTCGTAAGACAGCTTGAGGTGAGAGAATATGACACAGAAAATTGGATCCCCCCCATTGTTGATGGCTTTTGACATCCCATGCTGAGGAAAGTTTAGGAGGGCAGGAGCAGATCTGAATAGAGAGATGAACACTGAGAAAGGGTGAGTCAGGTTTTACTAGTGTAGCTCAGACATTCTCTTCTTATGACAAGGTAAAGAACAGATATTACTAACACTACAAAGTTAGGAAACTTTTTTTTTTTTGGTACCAGAGATCGAACTCGGGTCCTTGCGCTTGCCCAGCAGGCGGTGAAACCACTGAGCTAAATCCCCAGCCCAGGAAACTTTTTTGTTGTTGTTAGACAGGGTCTCACTATGTAGGGCAGGCTGGCCTTGAACTTGCTGCAGTGATCCTCCTGCCTCAGCCTCCCAAGTGCTGGAATTACAGGTGTGCACCATGCCTGGCTAGAAAATGGTTTTAAATGGTGAGCCTTCTTAGTAAAGGGTTAACTGCGGAAGTAGGGCAATTGGACAGTGGTGAAGTGGCTTCTGTGTAGCCAGCTACCACCTTTCCCCAGAGCTCCTCTACCATGCCCCCAACTTTCAGGCAAAGGGAAAGAAGAGCAAGGCCTTTTAGTTGTACTTCAAAGCTTCAGTGCACTTAAATTTTCTTTTAACAGATAATATAGTCTATGGTAGCATATTCAAAAGCTACAAAAGGCCATACAATGAATACTCTCCCACATTTTCTCCCTTCTGCCGCTGTTTGTCATCTTTTGTTGCTGATGTTTATACAAGTGATAAACCTTTGCTGCTGGTCGATATCAAGACAGTGAACATCTTCACTCTCCTTTATGCTCACATAGCATTCCATTTATGTTTGTGAATACTCTTATAGTTCCTTATAGATGGATATTTAGGCTGATTCTAATCTTTTCATAAAGAATTATGAAATGAAAACCTACATACATCATTTTGGACATGTGGGGCTATATGTATAGGATCACTTTATAGAATTGTAAGATTCTATATAGAGATTTTTTCCTTTATTCTTTCATTCAGTATTTATTGGGTACCTATTATGTGCCAGGAACCATGGCAGGCACCAGGAATCTAGCTTTTAACAACTCAGATAATGATCCCTGCTGTCAGGGAATGTTACTGTGTTCTAATGGGGAAAACACATCCAAGAAATAGAACAACAAACTTGTGTACACGAGAAAACTAAAGGGGGTCATATAGAGAATAAGTTGGAAAGAGCTACTTTGAATGGGCTCAGGAAGGCTTCTTTAAGGATGGGATGTGATCAGCCATAGATATGGGACAAGGATACTTAGGCTGTTCAAAGCCTCCATCAAAAAGGATGTAAAGGATTTGAGAAGTGGCCACCAAAAAGGGGTTGGAGGTAGGGTAGTCAGATGAAATTGGTGGATGATATCAAAGAAAGTAGGTGGCTAAAGATGAGGCTAGTTAGGGGAAGGACATGGTAGTGAAGAGAGCAGAGTTAGGGAGGCTATAAAGGGCTGCAGCTATTTGTGTTTAGAGAGCTTTGAATTCAGTTTATATAATTAAGTTAATTGAAGTAGGGAAATAGGAAAAGAGGCCACTTCCAACTGGCTTAAGAGAGGCATAGCCTTACCCACAGGCAGGAGAATGGGTTAGAATCTGGGAAGAGCTGGTCTATGCTTGTAGTAGAACCTTCTGTATCTTTTCTGTGGCAAAATGGAAGCTTCCAAAATAGAGATGGCATTGAAGGTCTCAGCCAGCCGGCTTGGGGCTGGCACAGAGAGGGCTCAGAGCTTGCGGTGGGAAGGAAACTTGGGCTCCGAGACCCACTCTCAACTTTGTGCTCCTTTTTCATCCTTACCCTTTCTGCTTCCCTTCCACAAAAGCCCATCTCTGTGCCCATCCTGGGTCCTATGACTTTTCTCTCCCTCAACAGTCGGTTCCCGATTCTGGTCCCCGGCCCCCAGCAGCGCCTGCCCCCTTCCCACCGGGGCCCCCCATGATGCCACCACCCTTCGTAAGTTTTGTGTGTTTCCCTGGGCTTGGCTTTTCCAGCCTGCACCCCCAACTCCCCAGCCCTTGCCACTGCTGCCTTGCCAGCATGGTGATGCCCCTTAGAAGAGGGGTGGTTTTGTTTGGGCGTTGGGGTGGGGAGAGATGTTATTAAGCTCTAGTCCATAAAGCTGCCAGTTCCCCCTTTGTCTTTTTTGTTCTTGGGACACAATGGGACTGGAGGTAGAAGTGGAAGGAAAAAGACCCCATTAGAGTGAGAGCAGGGTGGGGCTGTCTTTCTCTTTCACTACTCCTTTACCTGTGCTCTTTTACAAAGCCACAGAATTTGGGCTGGAATAGCATTGGTGATCATGAGTTGGAGAGAAAGGGATGGGAGGCAGAGACTAGGGGACGCCTGCCTTCTGCCCCTTGACCTGAGAGGCCTCTTGGGCAGGAGTGCCAAAGGGCACAGCCTCCCCACAGTCTGGTGCTGTTTCACTTCCCTTTCCCTCACCCTCCCCACCTCTTAAGCTGTTTGCTTACCTGTTAGGCCCAGAGAATGCCCTGTTGTCCGTCTTTCTCGATGGCAAGGAGGAAGGCAGTTTTGTGTCTTTGCTTCTCAAATGAAAGCCTTGGAAATGCCTCCAAGCCAGGGTGGAGGGCCGGGTGGGCAACAAGTGGCTGTTTCCTGACAGGTCTTCTCTGCCCCCACCTAATAAGGCAGTGTCTTCTCTGTTCAATCTCTTCCTTTCCTCACTTCCAGATGCCCCCTCCAGGGATCCCCCCACCCTTTCCTCCGATGGGGCTCCCCCCCATGAGTCAGAGACCACCAGCCATCCCCCCAATGCCGCCTGGGATCCTGCCCCCAATGCTTCCACCAATGGGGGCGCCACCACCACTCACACAGGTAATTGTCTCCCTCCACAGGGCTTCAGGAAACCTTGGCAGGTTTTGCTGAGGGTGGAGGTGAGAGTGGGAATCTGGGCTTCAGAAACTGGGGAGGGAAGGGAGTTTTGGGCCAGGCTAATGGATTTGTCCACTGAGTGACTGAGACAACTCAGGCAAAGCGAGAGTCCAGAGCCTGGGACTCTTCTGAGGAGGTACCCAGGTGAGAGTCATGGCTCCAGCAGGATCTCTCAGGACTCTCAGGGGACTCGGACTGACAGGACCCTGCCTTCATCTCAGTGACTGGTTTTTATATTCACAGATACCAGGAATGGTACCTCCGATGATGCCAGGAATGCTGATGCCAGCAGTGCCTGTTACCGCAGCGGTAAGCACTAGGAGCTGACAAGAAGCAGGCTCTGCCCTGGAGTCCTGTGGGTATAACTTGGAGTGCAGGAATGTGGACTCCATTCTTTCCCTCTTCTAATATCCACCCTGGTTCCTGTAGCACCCCCCACACTTGAATCTTTCTCACCAGTCATTTACTCAGCAATTCATTTCCTTCTCATCCCTGAATATGTGTTCTTTCTTGTTATTCCCCATGCTGTATCCAGCACCCTTAAGGAGCACACTCATGCCAGATACTCCTTCCCCTCAAAGGGCCATGGACTGTAGACACAATAATATGGTCCCTTTTTCACATCCTCTTTGCCTCCCGAGGAGGCAGTGGCACCCAGGGATCTTGCTGTGCTTTCTTATGTGGCTGTTCAGTATAGTAGAGTCTGAGTGGGATATAGAATCTGCCATGCACTGTGAGGAGATGGGCCTCAGGAGTTGACTCAACATAATCTGACTTTTGGAAAATGAAGGAAGGAGCTACTGTATGAGTCCCCTGGGATCTGAGAGCCATGGCCCTGGCAGGGGGGGAGGGGGCCTGTTAGGGAGCAAAGATTCTTGGGAGCAGGATACATGAATCCTGGCCTGGCCTGCTTCTCCATCCCCCATGGCCTGGGTCTTGGGGGCCACTGGGCTTGGCCCCAACCCTTCCCCCTCCTCTTTCTTCGGCAGACGGCTCCGGGTGCGGACACCGCCAGCTGTGAGTCTTCTGGGGGGTCTGCTTCCCCCAGGCTCGGAGGTTGGGGGGTACAGGGGAGAGGGGACCATGGACTGGAGCCCACTCTGGATCATGCCTGTTGGGATGCTAGGGAGCCTGGGATGTTGATGGGACTAGGGGGATATTTATTGGGGTTGGAATAAGGGAGGACTAGGTGGGGTTAAGATGGGGGTTGGAATAAAGACTTAATATGTTTTCTTTGGCTTCTTTCCTAGCTGCTGTGGCTGGGACAGGTCCTCCGGTGAGTCTTTTAGCTCGGGTCTCTGGGCAGAAAGGCTGAAAGTGGGGGGCTGATGGTAGAATCTTTGGGGTGAGGAGAGACTTTGGGAAAGGACCTTGACCACCGGTTCTGTGCACCCCCCCTCCCAGAGGGCCCTATGGAGTGAGCATGTGGCCCCTGATGGGCGCATCTACTACTACAATGCTGACGACAAGCAGTCCGTGTGGGAGAAGCCCAGCGTGCTCAAGTCCAAGGCAGAGGTCCTGAGCGGGGCTTTCTGGCCCTTCCTTTCAGCTGTCCTGACCCTTCTAAGTTCTTGACCTCCCCTGAGTCTCTAACTATGCTCACTGTGGTTCCTCTGATCCCAAGATTCCTGATCCCACCCCTATACTACCTGGAAGTGTTTTCCTAGGACCTCAGGAAGTCACCTTCCCCCATTCAAGCCCAGTGAGGTGGTAGCTAAAGGCTACTGTGTCCTCTATTCACTGGGTCCCCTTTGCTCCTCTGATTATGGCTGGAGAGCTCCCCAGCCTACTGATGTCTTTTGATTCATCCTCTTGCAGCTGCTGCTGTCCCAGAGTCCCTGGAAAGAGTACAAGTCGGACACAGGCAAACCTTACTACTATAACAACCAGAGTCAGGAATCCCGCTGGACCCGGCCAAAGGATCTGGATGACCTGGAGGGTGAGGAGTCCTGGGAGGAGGGGGGAAGGGGAGTTGGGCCCAGAAAAGGGGGTTCTTTGCTACCCTGTGACTGTCTTGTCTTTTCCCATTGCAGCTCTAGTCAAACAAGAGGCTGCAGGGTGAGTGACTTACCCACCTATCCCCGTCCATACTTGGGGGGTGGGAGTGGGTGATCTCTCCATTAGCCTCACCTCCATAGTGGGAAGAGTCAGTTCTCAGTCACTTCATGGGGTCATCTGCTTTGGCTAGGGAAACTAGCCACTCCTTGCCCTTCTCTGTCCCTCCTCTACCCTTAACACTATCCTCTGGCTTGCCTGCAGGAAACAGCAGCCTCAGGCACTACAGCCACAGCCTCCTCAGCCACAGCCTCCTCAGCCACAGCCTGAGCCCCCACCTGTACCTCCCGGCCCCACCCCAGGGTCCACAGAGCCAGATGGAAGTGAAGATTGTGATGTGTCAGAGGCTTCCCAGCCCCTGGAGCAGGGTTTCCTGCAGCAGGTGGAGGAGGGCCCCAGCAGGTGAGGGCTGCCCCCTTGACATTCCACATGTGGGCCTCAGGCTTTTAGCCTGGCTCAACCCTCATCCTCTGCCAGCCTCTCGGAAAGGGCATGTAGATCTAGGCATGGCCTTTGGAGAGCAGAAAGAGGCCACCCTGGAAAGCAAGGAAGGGGTGATGTGTTGCTTAAAGTGCAGGCCACTGAAAAGCAGTGCTGCCTGGGAGCCCTGTGCCTGAGTCCCATCTGCCCCCAGTTCTGCTGGACAACATCACCTACAACAGCAGGAGGAGGAAGAATCCAAGCCAGAACCAGAGAGGTCTGGCCTCAGCTGGAGCAACCGGGAGAAGGCCAAGCAGGCATTCAAGGAGCTGCTGAGGGATAAGGTGCTGAGGGTGGGGCTCCCAGGAAAGGCATGGAGGGGGCTGGAGGTGGGCAGGCCTTCTGACTCCGGCCTGCTACATTCCAGGCTGTCCCCTCCAATGCCTCATGGGAACAGGCCATGAAGATGGTGGTCACTGACCCTCGTTACAGGTAGGCCTGGGCAGATGCAGCCAGGCCTTGTTCATCAGAGCACCTGGGCCACCCTGAGAAACCCCAGCTCAACACTCAGGGTCATGGGGGCTGAAGTTAGGAAAGTAGTAGACTGTCATGGGATACAGGGGAGGAGAAACTGAAAGGCCTCCAGGGTAAGAAATGGAAGTTATCTGACATGTGACATTCAATAAATGTTTTTTGGATTGAATTGCATTAATTGGGGGAAAGAAAGGTCTGATGAATAGGGCAGAGATCTGATGGCAACTTGAGACCCCAAAGCAAGAGGACCCAGTGTTAGCCGTGTCTTGGGGCTGCATCTGTTCCCCACACTGCCTCTCCTACCCACATCACAGACGTGTGCAGAGCCCATGCATGGACCCTCCACTCAGCCCTGTGCGGCCTTTCCCCAGTGTCCTGGGACCCTCCTTGGTGAGCTGTGCAGGTGGTTTAGGCTGACTCCTCTGTCCCACCCGTACCTATCCTTTCTACCCTAGTGCCTTGCCCAAACTCAGTGAGAAAAAGCAAGCATTCAATGCCTATAAGGCACAGCGGGAGAAGGAGGAGAAGGAGGAGGCCCGGCTGAGGGCCAAGGAAGCCAAGCAGACCCTGCAGCATTTCCTGGAGCAGCATGAACGCATGACCTCCACCACCCGCTACCGGTCAGGGGGCTGGGCTGGGCTGGGCTGGGGCCTGGGAATCCTGAAAACACAGCAGCTCAGGGGTCTGTTCTCTGCCTGCCTACTCACAGCCCATATGCTCCACAGGCGGGCAGAACAGACCTTTGGGGAACTGGAGGTCTGGGCTGTGGTCCCAGAGAGGGACCGAAAAGAGGTTTATGATGATGTCCTCTTCTTCCTGGCCAAGAAGGAGAAGGTAATGGTCAGTGGGCTGGATCCTTTAGCCCATCTTATCCTAGACTGTCTTTGTCTTTGCTTCCTTATGGACCCTGGCCATTCATTTCTCCGATCCCCAGTGTCCAAGCTCCTGACTTGGAACCTGGTATGGCACTTGTACATCTCCCCATTTCTGCCCTGGGCCTCTGGCCCAGGGGAATCTTCAGAGGCTAGTGTGTGACTTGTGCCTCCTCTCCTCTGGGACATGAAAATCTTGAATCTGGCCCTCCTCCTAGGGTTCTCTAGCTATCCCCTTTCCCCGTATCCTCTCTGCCAGTCCCACTTGGGTAGCTCTGGCCTGCTCCCCCTCACCCTGATCCCATGGCTTCTCAGGAACAGGCCAAGCAGCTTCGGCGCCGCAATATCCAGGCTCTGAAGAGCATCCTGGATGGGATGAGTAGTGTTAACTTCCAAACTACATGGTCCCAGGCCCAGCAGTACCTCATGGATAACCCCAGCTTTGCTCAAGATCATCAGCTGCAGAGTAAGCCTGGGTCCCTACTCCCAACTGGCCCCTCAGAGCCTACTTCACAACACTCTCCTGCACCTCCTGCCCATCCTACAGACTTGTCACTGTTACAGACTCTGGGGGTCCCAGAATGTTTCAGGACACCCTTTCTGAGTTCCTGTCAACCTGGACATATGTGTTCTTGGAGGAAGACCTCGGGGATAGGAATCGGAAGTCCTAGAGATAATGCTGATGATATTTATAGTTTATATGATTATGGTCTTAAATGGTCAAAGCACCACAGGCTTTAACTGGTCATATATGCTAAAATTGGTGGCTTGTGGTCACTGATTCGAGAAATTGACCTTCTGAAGTTGCATCAAAACCTGACTGACTTCTAATTTCTTAAGATATAAAACCTCAGATTCCAAGATAACTGGTTTCATGTGCCAGCTTTTAGTCACTGAATTTACCACAGCTGAATACTTGCTACTTTTTTCTAGTGCAATTAATGACCCCCTACTCAAGAACCAGTGTTGCAGCAGCTGCTTCCACAGAGCCCGCTCCTTTTCCCCACTAACTTGGGTGTCCCCAGCACTACAGGGACAGCATCCTTCAGACAACAAAGGGTGCTGGAATCTTAAGAGGGTGCCTTGTTTATGGTGCCCAACCCTCTCCCTACCATGTAGACATGGACAAGGAGGATGCTCTGATCTGCTTTGAGGAGCACATCCGAGCTTTGGAGAGGGAGGAGGAGGAAGAGCGGGAACGGTCCCGGCTTCGGGAGCGTCGTCAGCAACGCAAGAACCGGGAGGCCTTCCAGGTATTTTCACTATACTTGGGGATCAGAGGTTGGCCCTGTCCTACTCAGACCACAGTCTGCACCTGTGCCTTGCCTCTGGGTTTGGCTGCCTGCCCTCTCCCTAGCCCAGTCCAAGCTCCACAAGGCCTCTCTGCCTGCAGAACTGCTGCTGTGTCTACTCAGCTTGGTCTGTTCTGTAGGCAGACCAGATGCGTAGGCACAGTGTGGTAGCTGAGCCATGTATATTTCCTTATCTCCCAGCTTGGGAGTGGCAGTAGTGGTGGCAGTGTGGGGTATCTTAGCTGATCATGTCAGGAAGTTGAAGCCAAGTCGTAGAAGACTGTGCTGCTGGCAGGTTTCTGCTTTTTTGCCTCCCAGACTGGCTCATTCTTATTTTTTGTTCCATTTACATTTTCTCCCTTTGTAGTGTTCTCTTCCTCCGCATCTCATCTCCCTCCCTTGCCTGCATTTTCTGTCTGGATTGTCCCTGCCTATCCTCCCGCCATTCCCTCTCTTCTGCCCCAGTCTCTAGCTCTACCTCCCTCTCTTGTCTCACTCTCCCCATCACTTGCCTCTCCCTGCTCAGACCTTCCTGGATGAGCTGCATGAAACAGGGCAGCTGCACTCCATGTCCACCTGGATGGAGCTGTACCCAGCAGTCAGCACTGATGTCCGGTTTGCCAACATGCTGGGCCAGCCGGGTAAGGCAGCCAGGCTCCCTTTCTCTGGTCTGGCTTCCTGCCCTGCCAACCTCTGCACCCCCACACCCTGGTCCTGTCCTCGATCCTACCCCAGGCCTTGGGAAGCTGCCGCCCGCCAGGCCCCCCTCCCTCCCTCCCTGCAGGCTCCACCCCTCTGGACTTGTTCAAGTTCTATGTGGAGGAGTTGAAGGCTCGATTCCATGATGAGAAGAAGATCATAAAGGACATTCTTAAGGTGAGGAGGACCCAGGGTTATGGATGGATGCTGGCTGGGTGAGAGCCATGCTCCCTAGACAAGACTCCCTGATATGTCCTGTTCCCATTTTGCAGGAGATGGCCGCTTGCTCAGCAGATACCAATTGTATTTTTAACATGCACTCCTGGGGACACAGTAATAAGGCACAATTTCTGCTCATAGGAGTGCATAGACCAGTAGGAGTGCATGGGGGCAAGTGTTATTATAGACAGGAGTCAGAAGGATTTATATTTGAACTTCCCGTTTAGGAGTAGGTGGAGTGGGGGTGAAATGTTCTAGGCATAAGGGTACCACAGAAGCAAACAGAAATTGCAAGGTACAAAGGTTATGGGAGGTTTGAGGAGCAAGAAATAAAGCTATTTGTAAGCTGATAGCCCACAGATGTTCTTTCTGGCCTATATAGTTTTGGAAAAATTTGGAATTCATATAAAAATCTGATTTTTCAGGTTTTGTCTAATTATCTGGCAGCTTCGGGCTAGTTTTTTTTGGTACTGGGGATCGAATTCGTGACCTTGCGCTTTTGAGGCAGATGCTGGATCCACTGAACTAAATCCCTGGCCCACTTTGGGCTAGTTTTGAAGGTATTCTCTAGACTCACCCTAAGGTGCCACTGCCCCTGAAAGGATGTGTCATTCTTTTCTCAACACTTCTTATTGCTTTCTTAGTATTAAGAGTGTCAGCTGCCATTTACTATCCTGTGTGCACTGTCAGATTTCTTACATTGGAGAAATAGTTCTCAGTGTTCCTGTCTATCAAAGTTAGAAAAGATAAGCTGGGTGTGGTGGTGCACACCTGTGAATCCCAGGACTTGGGAGGCTGAGGCTGGAGGATCACAGTGAGTTTAATGCCAGCCTGGGCTGCAGAGTAAGTTCAAGGCCAGCCTGAACTACATAGTGAGACCCTGTCTCAAAAAACTAAGAGTTAGAAAAGATGAGTAAGCAAGTGAAAGCCTTGTGTTCCAAAAGGAAAAAAACAAAAACCAAAACAGGGAGAAACTGCATTTCCTTATGGAAGTGAAGAACGTTCTAATGTATTTGAGGAAATAGTCTACTAGAGTGGTTAGGAGCAGGACTTGCAGACTGCATAGGGTAAAAGTCCAGATTAACCCCTTACTAGTTGTATGACCTCACACAGGCCACTTAACCTTTTTGAGCCTTAGTTTCCTCATCCAAAAAATGTGAGTATTCCACCAAAGGACACTTACAGAGGAACATAACTTGGTGCCTGAGTTGAGAGGGACCTGGGAATAAAGTTAGGAAGGTCCCATGTATAAATGTATAATGTTTCTTTGAAGTTGGACTGTACTGGTTGGGAGTTTTTTTAGTTTCTAGTTTTTAGTTTTTTTGTACCAGGGATCAAACTCAGGACCTTGTGCTTTCGAGACAGGCATGGTGCCACTGAGCTAAATTCCCAGCCCTGAAGTTGGATTGTAATGCCGTATCACCTGCCTGTATAATATGCATTTAACATTTTACAAATTACCATTAGGGAAGATGTTTTCTATTTCTCTGGAGCTGTATACCCCGTGAAGTGTGGTGTCTTGAGAGCTAAAATAAACTTGGTCCAGGCATGGTGGTACACGCCTGTAGTCCCAGCACTTGGGAGGCTGAGGCAGGAAAATTGCTGTGAGTTTGAGGCCAGCCTGAACACATAGTGAGACCATTTCAAACAAACAACAAAAGAGAAATTTGCATTTTATAAGTGATAAGATCATCTTTGAAAAGCTACTACGAAAGAAAAAAAAAAAACATTGGCCATATTGTGTGGTAGTGCCTCTCAGGCTGCGGTATATTTGAGTCTTTTGGTTGGTTGTAGGTGGACAGTTCTTGAAGACTCAAGATAATAAATGTGAGAGTGGCAGGTAACTGAAATATGCTTTGAGCTTTGGTCACCCTGACTCATCCCTGGACCTCTCCGATTACTGGGGCTACTTGGTCCAAAAATGAGAGCAGCAGAGGTCTAGGGGGCTGGAAGAGGCTAAGCAAGGAGACCAGTCAGGTGGCTGCTGCAGTCAAGAGGGGCAGTGGGGATGGCAGGTAAGGAGAGCGAGCTGTGTTTGAGAAGCCACAGGTGCCTAGAGATAAGCACAGGGTAGGGGTTCAGTGGGAGGGGATTTTACGATTCCTATTTTCACTTGGAGGTGCCTACATCTCTTATGCAGTGAGGTGCTAAGAGTTTTACTGAAAACTTTCTTTTGAAAAAAAACCTTTAAAACCTATGGGATAGTTATTAAATAGTTGTCAGATTGTTTTGTGAAGTTGAGGGAAAAGGAAGGAGTGATGTGTAGCGGGCAGGGCAGTGGATGATGGAGACCATAGGTCAGGACTAAACAGGAGATGCTAATTCCACTTGCACAATTATTCTCAAAAGCAACCCTCCTACGGCAGAGAGGAATAAAGCAAGTATCTTTTAAACAGGGTAAGTATATAAACGAGAAATACCTAATCCCAAGATAGCTGAATTTTATCGGATGGTTAACTTTTAGTCACAGAGTGGGCTGTACCACCACCTGGCCTGCAGATTCCTGTCCCCCTGCCCCACCTGAGAAAGCAGCTGTCTGAGACAGTTGTTTCCTGTTCCTCCTTTTGGGCTTCTGCCTTTGCAGGACAGACAAGCCTGGAAGTCTTTGGCTGTCCAGTCAGGTAGACTGGTGGTACCTCTCATCTATAGGGTAACACAGGGCCCTCTGTGGGGCTTGTGAGAAATGTATTCTCTTGTGATCTATCGAAGTATTTGGGACATAATGTAGTACAGGTCTGAAAATCAGCAGAGGGGAACAATTAAGATTGCTAGGGAGAATATAGATCAATAGTGGAAAAATACTGTTCTCAGGAACATGTACATACATGGAAAGTGACAGAAGAGGACTCAGGGGTGTGTGGAAGAATTAAAACAGCAGAAGTACTAAAGACCAGATGAGTGAAGACTAAGCAGGAGCCCTTGGATTTGGTTGTTAGAACATGGGCAACTTTTGGGAGAGGGGGACCATGAAGGTAGTGGTTTTGGGGCTGCACACATTTTAGAATCAAGTAATTCCTGGCTGTTTATTGGCTCTGAGACTTCTTTAAATTATTGTGTTTCTGAGCCTCAGTTTTCTCTTCTGTAAATTGGGGACAGTCCATTTGCAAGGCTGTGAGAATTTACACTTGGAAAGTGTCATGTTTATAATAGCCTCTCAACAAATGTTTTTTCCTTTGTGCTTCAAGAAACTTTAAAACTAAGAAGCAGCAGCAGAGGTAGTTAGCTTGAGAAGGTGAGAACAGGTGTTTGTGGCAGAATGAGGCTTGATGGAAGGTGCCAGTGTGAAGAGGGTAAGGTTGAAGCCCCCATTTCACAGAGGGCAGGTGTTCTCGAGGGATCAGCAGGAAGGCTGGAGGAAGCTTCAGCTGTGTATAGGGAGAGGGAATCTTGCCTGTGCCCCCGCTGACTTGAAATCCCAGTAGCTCCACTTAACCACTTGTCTCGTCCAGGGCCCTGTGAGATCACTCTCCTAAACCTCCGCCTCAAGGGGATGCTGTGAGGCTTAGATGAGAAGCATGGAGACTGGCCGTCATGTTTAGAGTGGGACACATTTTGAATATGGCTGGGGCATTGCACCCGACGACCTCCATTTCTCCTTTGGACTACGTGATGTGTCTAGGAGTAGTGCTTGAAAGTACATGCTTTGGAGTTAGACCTGGGGTAGAATTTTTGCCCAGGCATAAGTTTAGCTCTGAGACCTTAGGCAGATGTAAAACTAGAATGCTAGGACCTTTTTTGTTTTTCCTGGTTTTCTGAGACAGGGTCTCACTATGTAACCCAGGGTGGCCTCAAACTCACAGCAATCCTCCTGCTTCAGCCTCCCAATGCTGAGATTACAGGCATGTGTCTCCTTGCCTGGTGGGCCTGCTCTTAAATGAGAACTAGGAGGGTTAAGTGTGTGTGAAGCATTCAGCAGGGTATCTGCTACTTAGTGAGCACTCAGTAAATAGAGCCAGAGGGTAGGGACCAGCAGATGTTGATACAGAATGCATGGAAGCTTCCCTGAGCAACAGGAAGGCCCAGCTGGGGCCAGAGCTTTAAGCCAAAGGAACAAAGAGCTAACTGTGAGAAACTCAGATGTCAGTCAGCAGATGTGGGGACCCCTCTCAACCCCTTAAGCTCCATGTGACATCCAGACCAGGGGTAGGCATGGGCTTGTCAGATGAGAACTTGGGACAGTGTGGTTCCTGAGGTGTCAGCCTTGTGTGACTTCTCTGCCTATCAGCCGTGGGCCTCATCAGGCCGTGCTGCTCTCTGCTTTATGCACTGCTATGCCCACAGGACCGGGGCTTCTGTGTGGAGGTGAACACAGCCTTTGAGGACTTCGCCCACGTCATAAGCTTTGACAAGAGGGCTGCTGCGCTGGACGCAGGCAACATCAAGCTGACCTTCAATAGTGTGAGGGGCTGGGTGGGGTGGGGCTGATTCTCTAACTTATCCCAGTGCCATATTGCTTTCCTGCTTGTTCACTGCCCCATTGACTGTAACTTGGGTTTGGGGGATGATGGCAAAGTCCAGACCCCAACTTCTTACCTCTCAGTGTGTGGGAACAGGTCCTAGGTACCCACCCTTTTAGGTGATCCTGTCCTGTATCCCTTCTGCCCTCAGCTGCTGGAGAAAGCAGAGGCACGGGAGAGGGAGCGGGAAAAGGAGGAGGCACGAAGGATGCGGCGCAGGGAAGCTGCCTTTCGAAGCATGCTGAGGCAGGCTGTGCCTGCTCTGGAGCTGGGCACTGCATGGGAAGAGGTCAGGAGTGCAGCTTGGCGCCCGTCACCCTCAAGCCTGAGGGCAGTGGAGCTTCACCACTGCGGGCCCACCCCAGTCACAGACAGCCCTGGGCCAGCTCCGGTTCCCTTCCTTCCACTGCCCCAGCCCTGCCCTGTGCTTGTGGCGGTGTCCAACCTGGGCCCGTCGGGACCCGGTCTCATCAGCAGTGCTCTCCCCGTTCAAGGTCCGTGAGCGCTTTGTGTGTGACTCAGCCTTTGAGCAGATCACCCTGGAGTCGGAACGGATCCGGCTCTTCCGGGAGTTCCTGCAGGTGTTGGAGGTGAGCAAGCTTCTTGCCTTCAAGATTCATCCCAGGCACCGGAAACTTCTAGACTAGCTTAACAGAGTCCTCAATGGCTTCTCACCCCAGGGCCCTCCTTCACCTAGGGAGGATAGGCAGGAGGCTCTAGCTTGACTCAGGGAGATAGGGCTCTCCCTGAGGATAAAGTTGATGCCCTCACCTCTCATCCTTGTCTCCAGCAGACTGAATGCCAGCACCTCCACACCAAAGGCCGAAAGCATGGCAGGAAAGGCAAGAAGCACCATCACAAGCATTCTCACTCACCTTCAGTGAGTTGGCGGGGAGAAAGAGTAGGAGGGAAGCTGGATGGTCCTGGGGAAATGAGCACTTGGTTTTCCCCTTGTATTATTACCCTTGGAGGGAGATTTGAGGATTCCTTTGGCTCTGGTCTTCCTCTCTATCCCCTCTATTCTGTCCCCCAATTGCCAGACAAGGGGTCTGAAGGTCAGAGAACTTCTATACTGACTGGTACGTGCTGACCTACCCAGGGCTCCGAGTCGGAAGAGGAGGAGCTGCCCCCACCATCCCTCCGACCCCCTAAGCGGAAGCGGCGGAACCCCTCAGAGTCTGGCTCTGAGCCCTCATCTTCACTTGATTCAGTCGAAAGTGGGGGTGCTGCCCTTGGAGGACGGGGCTCCCCATCCTCCCACCTTCTCCTTGCATCAGGTGAGCAGTTACTTGATGGGAATCTGGGAGCTGCAGGGAAAACTGGATTGGGAAGGCTGACCTGGGACATTAGGAACTCCCTGTCCTTGCCCAGGCAGGAAACTGGGAGAAAGAAGGGAAACTGGACTGAGCCTTTCTCAGACCATGAGCTCTTATCTGCCAAGAATGAACTGAGGGGGCCAGGGATTTAGCTCAGTAGTTTTGCTGCCTGCTGCGCACGTGCAAGGACTGGAGTTCGATCCCTGGTACCAAAAAAAAAAAAAAAGAATGAATTGAGGGCTGTGGCAGGGAAGAGGATGAGCTCTCCTTTTTCCCTTTGAGACTTAGTCGGGATTTTTCTATCTCCAGATCATGGCCTTCGGAAAGTCAAGAAACCAAAAAAGAAAACTAGGAAGAGAAGACACAAGTCGGTGAGTAGGGAATGAACTCTGTCCAAGGTCATGCTATTTTGTGGTCTCTGTTCACCCACCTCTCAGCTGTCCTGCACAGGAGCTGAGGTGGGCCTTGGACTCTTGCAGAACAGTCCTGAGAGTGAAACTGACCCTGAGGAGAAAGCTGGCAAGGAGAGTGAAGAGAGAGAGCAAGAACAGGACAGGGAGCTTCGGCACGTGGAGCTCCCTAACCGCTCCCCAGGCTTCGGAGTCAAGAAGGAGAAGGTTCGAGGTGGGGCCCAGTGCTGACCAGGCAGTGCTCTGTCCAGGGAACTTGGGGGTGAGCCGTGCCTTTGTTCAACAGACAGGCTGGGACACATCAGAAAGTGAGCTGAGTGAGGGAGAGCTGGAGAGGCGGCGGCGGACGCTTCTACAGCAGCTGGACGACCACCAGTGACCCAACAAGCTGCTCTCTGCCTTGGACCCGGCCTGTGTGAGGCAGTGGCTCCTGGGCCACCCTCCCTGTGCCTCAGACTCCTTCCTTCATCTGGTCTGTGTCTACTTTTCCTAAAGTAACTTTACCCTCAACACACCACTGTTGGCACCTCTCAAGGTTTGCTTTGGTGTTCAAGGGTCCCTCGCTTCCTGGACAACTCGTGCAGTCCTTCCCTCAGCCTCAGACCAGAGATGGGTGTCTGCGTCATGTGGGGTGGGTGATGCCAGTGGGTACAGTGTGAGTGCAGGGGTCTCCAGGGAAGAGACTGGCTAGGTGGTGGAGGGCAGGGTCCTCTTCCTCTAGCATCAGTGCCTGCTCCTGCCTGCCCTGGGGCTCCACCACTGCTTCCTCTAGCCCTAGGAGCCAATGTACATGTTTTTTTGTTTTTTAAATAATATTTATAACATGACCGGTGACTTTTGTCTTCGTTTGCTACTGGGGCAGGCTGGGGCCTGAACAGGCAAACAGATGCCCAGGAGAGGGCGCTCGTGTCTCCCTTTGTGTGGTCGGAGACCACCCATCCAGCTTTGCCCTACCCCAGACAGAGGTTTCTATTCCCCACTCCCCAAGTCCAGAAAGAGGAGACGGCCTGGTGCTTCAAGCTTTTGTTGAGAAGAGAGGGAAGGTCTGGGGTTTATATACAAGAGAAAAGGGAAGTAGTACATGTACAAAGAGAGGTGGCCCCAGCATTCCCTTTCCAGGGACTGAGAAGAAACTGGCAGCGAACTAACAAATCGTCTGTGAGGATCATACTTCCTGCCCTCTGCCAGAAAAACCCACTAGCTAAGGAAAGGAGCTGAGGTTGTTGGCACACCCTTCTCTAGTGGTCTTGGGGCCAGTGCAGACAGCCTTTGCTCTTCACCCCACCACAGCAAGGCCAGCATCCACCTAGACTGGAGCCAGGGGAAGGACGGTGGGCTGGGCACCTCTTCTACCCTTATCACCCGGGTGCAGGCGGGGGCCAGGCAGAGAAGGGCCTCCCTCCTGGTAAGAGATGATCCAAGGTGGGCAGGGTGCTAGGGCCCCTGAAGCCTGAATACTTCTAGACCAGAGCAAGGAAGGGAGAAGCAGAAAGAGGGGCTTTCTCCTTTCATCCCTCAGGGCTTTATGAGAGAGGCCTAGGTGCCCCTGTGTAGGTTAAAGCTGGAAATATTTTTCCCAAGCCCTCAGCTGGTCCTTGGTGACCCTTCAGGAAATGATGTTGACTATGGGGGCAAAGTGCAGTACTGGAGGCAGAAGGAAAGTGCCAAGCCCCTATAGTAGTGCTCACAGTGGCACAGGTTAAGACCCAGCCTGAGAGCTGGGGTGGCACACCTGAGCGCACACCATAGCCTTCTACTGGGCCCCTGGCTTCAGGTCCACTGGCCAGACTTGCAGGACTGAGGGTTGAAGCGCTTCTGCATCCAAGAGTCTCAGTGGGGCCCTGGAGCCCGAGGGGGGCCACTGGGTGGTGCAGCACTCCTGGCTTGGTGGCGAACAACAATGGGCTGGTAGTGGAGGCCTGTGGGGAAGATAGGGCAGCTGAGCAGGACTGTGCCTTCATGGGTGGCCCCACAGCAGGGCAGAGCAGAGCCAGCCATGCAGTGTGTTGGTGGTAGTGGTGTGATGGGGACCTAGAGGCTAAGGAGACAGGGTAGACATGGGAAGACCCAAAGCTGAGGAGAGACCCTGAATGTCAGGAGGCAGAGATAAGGACCATCTGACTACTTACTGCCTACTGGCATCAGCTACTGCCAGCCAGAGCTCTTAGAAGGAACTCTGAGGAAGGCAAGGACTCAGGACACTCGTGATCAAAACCATAGGCCTGGCCTTCGCTGTGCTAAAACAGCCCCCAACCCTGGCCTGGCAACTCCCTAGCCCGACTCTTAGTAGAAGCCATGAGAGCGTTAGTGAGAGAAATACCACTTCCCAAGCGGCACATGCAGGGCTTAAGCCATGCTTCTCAGAGCATGGGGCATGCAGAAGGATGTGTCCCCATCACTGGGAGGCTGCCAGGGGATGGTTCCTAGTTGTCCAGGGGAGGTGCCTGTGAGCTCCAGCAGGACTCTGGGGGAGTGGGCATGCAGAGGGGCAGCTGTGGTGCCTGGTACCTGTCAGGCCCCCAGCCTTGGGGGTTAACAGTTTGATTCATCATGGTGGGCTGCATCACAGAAGAAGCGTGAGCCCCGTTTGGCAGTACGGGCCGTGAAAGGGACACTCTTCAGCACTGTGGCCCAGGAGAGAGACAGTGGTCAGGCCTCATGGTGGGTTGGGTGGGAGTCGGGCCCAAAGGGATTGTGGGCTGGCCCCAGTGGCCAGGTCCCAGAGAGGGCAAAGGGCCATCTGTACCTGTGATGATGTCCTCAATGGTACCATCCTTCCCCTCGTAAACAGGCCGGTGCTCCTTAGCCTGGCGCCGCCTCAACTCTGCAATTAGCTCCTGCTGTTGCCATTTGTTCCGCTGAGATGGAGTCTTTGAAGTGGGAAGAAATCATCACTAACCTGATGCCTCAACCTGGACGTTCATTTGCACACTGCTAGGAATCCCCCTCCCAGAGCCCTACGCCTTGCTCCTCTGAACTCAAGCCCTTAAGTCCTCTTGGGGCCTCTCTGTTCCAGTGTTCCACTTCCTCTCTAGCTCTCTGCTCCCTCTAGGCCAGCTACTGGTCCACCCACCTTGGCATCCAGCTTCTTGGCTTCCTGAGCCAGCTGCTTCTCCCGCATTACCTCCTCCTGCTTCTTGCGGGCTTCATTCTCTTGTTCTGCTTCCTAAGAACCATAGGTGGGGGGTGAGGCTCACACAGGCTGGGAGGGGAGGGACTGACATTGAGGATAAAGAGTGGGTGGCAATGGGACCAGCTAACCCCAGGTGGCCACCCTCTGGAGGGGCACTTCCTCCCACTAACAATGACAGGAAGGGCCTGGGCCCCCACCCTGCCCACCAGTTCATAGCTAAGAGGCCTGTCACCAGCATCCATTGCTGTTTCCCCAGGACTCAAAGGAATTGGAAAAGGCCCAGACTTGAAGCCTAAGACTTCTCTCCCGCAGCCAGTTTTCTGTCAGAGAAACTCCTCTTGAACTCTCTCCACCTTACCTTGTAGGAACGAATGAATCGGACAAATACTGGGAAGAAAACAGAAGGAGGTGTGGTCTTGGGACTCTCGCCAAAGTAGCACACAACTGCATTGTAGGCTTCCTGGGAAAAGGGGAGGAGAAGGGGTCAGCTCTCACACCAGGAGACAGAAGGCCCACAGAAAACAGAGCCCAAGGCTGAAGAGAGGAAACCAACCATCCAAGGCCCTGGGAGCTGCAGAGAATGTGGGGTCCCCAAGTCTCTGAAGAGTATGTCTCCAAAGGTGGCTACCGCCACCCCCAAAATCTTTATCCTCAGAGAGCTGGTCTGCTGCCTGATAAAGAACCCGAGGCAAGCCCAACTTGAGAGGTCTGGTAGTTGGCCCAGGTTGCTCCCCCGCTACTCCCACCTCCAGCAATCCCTTGCTTGCCTCAGCTGTCTTGGCATCACGCTGGAGCTTGTCCAGTTTGCCTTCATTGGTGCTGAGGAAGCTTCGAAGGACGCTGTTGTCATGAATGCTGCATTCCCGCCGAATCAGCTCCATGCCCCGGCCCAGCTCCTTTACATCTAGCAGCACGTTCTCCAGGGACACTGTGGCCACCAGAGGCCTGGCTGAGGCCTGCCCAACGTGCCCACTTCCCAGCCCAGGGATACAGCAAACATGCCCTCTCCCTCAGCAGGTTGTCACACCGTGTGGAAGTGAAGTACGAGGCCAGCTGAGGCTCCACAGCAGCAGGGGAAAGGAGTGGAGGCTGTGAGCTCTTGGCCCCAAAGAACAAGGTAGCAAAAGAAGGGAAGCCACAGAGGCTGCTGGTATCCAAAGTGGAGCTGCCTAAGGCCTGTCCCAGTTTTTAAGGCTAGGGCAGAAATAACAGCTACTTTATGTCTATAAAGGGCTTTATGGTTTTCCTAATAACTTTCCACACATAGGAAATGCAGTCTCTCTAAGTGAGCTTGAAGGAGTTGGGGAGTAAAGAGTTACTGCCTTCCTTTCCTGGTCCCATGGCACCTAGCTGGGAAGAGCTGAGAAGGCCTGGGCTGGACCTACTCCCTCCAGGGCTGCTCCTGCTCATGGCTCTAGTGGAAAGCTTTGAAATAGAAGATGAAACAAATGGACCCAAGTGTTCCCTCTCCTCAGAGTTTCTTGGGATTGTCCTGGGCTGGACATGAGGACAGCCAAGGATATACACCCACCCAAGGTCTCCTCACCTGCTGCAGCTTTCTCTACAAAGTGCAGCTCGTGCCAGAAGTTGGCCAGGTCTGGGTATTTTTCCTTCACCGTCAAGGCAATGAAATGCAGCAGTGTCATCTTCCGGTCAGTGGACTTTGTGTCCAGCAGCTGGGTGGGAGGGAGGGAGGGGCAGTGCCACAGAGCTAAACATGCTGGCTTTACCACTACTGCCCCCAGGGGTCCTGCCCATGCCGCCATCTTACCAGATCCAAGCTCTGGAGCTTGAAGCCATACACAGCTCCTCGCTTGCTGCTATTCATATAGTTTCCCAGAGCAAGTATGATCTGTCCAAAAGATACATGGGAGGGAGGTCAGGCCATGCCCCAAGGCTCCCACCCAGGACCTGGGAACCACTAGCACCCCATTCCCTCCTCTCCCCACCTCCAGCATCTGCTTCAGCTTCTGTGAGGACTTGACAGAGGCAGAGGCTGCAATGATGGCATTGAGTTGCTAGAAGAGATGAACACATTTGAGTCAGCCCAGGCTGGCAGATTCACTGAAGTCAGGGAGGGGGCGGAAGGATCGGCAGGGAAGGGGAGGGGGTCAGGCAGGGGGGGTGGAGGGACACCCTCAGAACCACAGTTCAGGTGAGGGATTTAGGCGAGGAGTGTACCGGTGTGAGCATCTGCAGGTTGTCCTGAAAGTTGCCCAGGAAGGCCATGCCAGCCATTCGCTGGGTCAGCCGTTCCACCTTGCTGAAGAGCAGCATGAAGCGGTCCTCAGCCGCCAGTTCTTCCAGGGGTTGCCGTTCACGCTCATACTGCCTCAGCAGCTTCACCTCAGCCTCCGTGGGCAGAAATCGCATCAGGCACTCCACAAAGTCCACGGGTAGTGTCTGTAGGTCAAACCTGTGCAGGAGAAAGAACATCTGGGGCTGGGGGACTGTGGGGCACAGCCAGAGGTAGCATACCATTGTCTTATCTGCCACAGTGCCAGCCATGGTCCTGAGAAACTCTCCATGCTACTCTGATGTCTTTCCTCTTCAACAA